TTATTCATCTTCAGACAATGGAGCCAGTGATAGAATGCTTAGAAGCTAAGCAGAGGACATAGTACACATTTGTTCTAGACAATGCCCAGAAATTTATCTAATAGGCAAGCCTTAACAACAGCTAAGATTTGTGTGGGTAGTAGAAAAAATATAAATTTTCATAGTCAGAACTGGCTTTGCCACTAAACTAGTAACATGATAGGACAAGTAACTTAACCTCCGTAGGCCTTAATTTCCTCATCTATGAAATGGGGAGAATAATATTTCGCTTTCGGGGTGTTATAAGATTTAAACATAATAAGGTAATTTTCCCAACATTATGTGTATCACATTACATGCCACCAACAAGTAGTATTTGAAGAAGATATTATTACTTTGTTTTCTAAAATCCGTAACAGTATTGTTTATTAATGCCCTATTGATTTAGGAAAAGCTCTATGCAGGAGAAAAACAAACAACAACAAAATTTTAAAACCCAGGAAAACCTCATTATCACATTGAATAAATCCATCCAAGGCAAGAATGAAAAAAATTACTCTAGAGTTGAGAAAATATTTTCCACGGTGACTCCGTATGTCATTGTTATATAACCTTTGGGAATATTTCTCCACTCTCTATAAATGTGGGATACTTGATTCTCTGGGTCATCATGATGGCCCACTTAAAATGTTGTAACTTTGCTGTAAGCATTGGGCTCATTTCCTCAGTATGTACTGTCCCAGTTGGTTTGTGATAGAATCAGCTTTGACAGTGACAACCATGAGGCTGTGAGAGTACGATAAGAAGAGTAACTGATTGGAGGAAATAAGGTAGAAAGAGAAATTCAAATAACTGAGAGGCGATGTGGGAAGAAGTGAGAAGGAAAATTAAAATTAAAACAAGATCAATACAGAAATCAGCAAAGAATTCCAGATACGAAGAGTGAACTGAGAAGAAACAGTAATGTATCTTGTGATTTATGACCTTTTTTAGAGGTAATGGATAATGAGGGCATTGGTGAGTGTGCGTGGGGGGTGGGGCAGAGATACAGAAATCCTGGCAAGGAAAGTGCAGGATATGGGGATGGTGGCTGAGGCTGTAGATGCCCAAATGCAGTATCCTGGGTCAAGACAAAGGGTGGGAGACAAATGATTTCTCCAATAGTGTCTGTCTTCTTCATTATTTGAAGCAAAGCTAGGTGAAATGGGAGGAACGCATGCCCTTGTGAGGAAACTACCTAGCAAATGCCAACCATGCTTTAGCTCTGAGTTATGGAAACCACATGTGACTGGACCATAACGGCATTAACTCAGAATCGCCTGCTCCATAAAGAAGGAACTTGCTGTATAAGTTGTTCCAGAAAAGTTAAATAATTTCAGAAACATGGCACAAGTGAATGATGTCACCCAGGGAACAGGGAACATGAAATTAATTTCTCTCAAAACAAACTCCAGAAGAAAAACATCAGCCTTTTCAATGGAAATAATGGGAAATAGCCCAGTAATTCTGGTTTCTTTCTTCTGTGCTTTATAACATCTCTTGTTTATTTTTTTTCTCTTGATAAACCTCAGATCTTCCAGCAGATGACCTTGTCTCCTTCTTTTTAGAGTAAATGAGTCATTAGACAGAAACTTCCTTGACTCTCCGCTATCAAAAGGACAAATCTATCTATACCTCTACCCATTTCCCCCCTCTTTCCTGCTGTTAAATTGAAAAAGGTGGCCTGCTACCTTATGCAAGGTAAATCCCTCCAGCTATGCATGGATCCATGACTTCTGTCCTCTCAGGGACCTTGTTATATATATTAAATTCTTTTTCTCCTGTTCCTTAAATTTTCCTTTCCACTGATTCTTAGAGCTTAAATATGGTCAGGTGTCAGTTCAGAAGACTGTAATAGGTATCCAGAAACTAAGTCAACATTTCCCTTTGGATGTCTCAGACATCTCTAACTCAACACATCTAAAAATGAACTCATCATTTGTCCAACATGAACTTCCTTCCTCTTCCCCTCAATTTCTCAATCTCAGGGGAGTGGCTTCATAACCCAACCAAATATCTAGCTAGAAACGTGGAAATTATCCCTGAGTCCTCCTTTCTGCTCAATTCCCAAAACCATTTGATCAGCAAATCTTGTTGGATCTATCTTCAAATTATATTCTGTAACCAACCAGTCCTCTTCATCTCTATTGCCACACACTGGTTTAGATAACAATCATCTCTTGCCTAGATGGTCATAATTGACTACTAACTGGTTTCAGCATCATCTGTATATGTCTCTACTAATCTCTTTTCCGTACTGCAGCTGGAGGGATCTTTAAAAAATCTAGATAGGATCATGTCACCCTCTTATTCATTTTTGAAATCATGGTTTCCCATTGCCTTTCAGATAAAGCCCATACTCCTTCATATAGCTTATAATACTGTTCATGAGCTACTCATACAGACTTCTTAGTCTCATGTCTTGCCACTTGTCAATACTTCAATCATTCTAAATGTCTTTCAGCTTTTCATAATTGCCGTTTTCTCATTCACTCTTTGCCTCGCTAAAACTCCTTTGGCTCCGAATTAACGTAGTGCTCCTCCCCTTCCTGGGATACTTTATTGTAATTACTTGTTTATTTTATTTTTTTTTAAAGATTTTATTTATTTATTTGAGAGAGAGGATGAGAGGAGAGAGAGAGCACATGAGAGGGGGGAGGGTCAGAGGGAGAAGCAGACTCCCTGCCGAGCAGGGAGCCCGATGCGGGACTCGATCCCGGGACTCCAGGATCATGACCTGAGCCGAAGGCAGTCACTCAACCAACTAAGCCACCCAGGCGCCCTGTAATTACTTGTTTAATTCTTTGCTAGAGTATAAGAATTATATCTTTCTTGCTCACCAATTTATCCTCTCTGTTTGCTCCTAATCTCTTCTACCAGCCTACTCTAGTATCTTGCTTAGTATCTGGTATCTAATAGATCCTCAGTATTTGTCAAATAACTTCATTGTTTTTCAGGGTTTTGATTCATTTCTCTTACTGAACTTAATAGTCTTGATTCTCCAATGGAGTCTCAGAGAATATAATCACAGCACCTTTCAAATCTCATGTCTGTGGTGAGAAAGGGAGATTAAGCTTGAAGGTGGCCAGAACAACAAATGCTATGTTAATCCTTAAGGCTTAAAGGTTTGTGATCATTAGCACTCATTTTCACTAAGGATTTAGGCATTTAGAGACACCCCCTTATCTCCGTATGAAGGTCATATAAAAGCAAAGACCTATTTGTGGTCATTTATACATAAAGACAGTATCGGCCATTAGGAGGGAAGAGTCTTTAAGGGTTTTTGTTAGTTTTTTTTGCAGTAGAGAGAATGCTATAGACAAGACTACCTTTGGAAGTTCTAATATGGCCAATATCATTTCAAAACTATTTATTGAATACTTACTAGATACAATATTTCACCTTATAAATTGTGCAGTCCTGGAGCCAGGAGCAACCTTTGCTGTCATTCTGGCATGCTTCCTAGACACCATCTGGGAATTAAGCCTACAACATCTCTGACAGTCATTACTTTACTTTGGCTTGAGAACTTTCGCGAATGAGATTGCATTGCTGATGAGGCCACCTGCCCTACTCCTAGAAGCTCTAATGTCACAATATTTTTTCTCCTGTTTCCTCTTCCTTCTCTAACTTAACATCTCTTTCCTGTCACTTCAATCATATGTCCTCTACTTCACCTAAGTCCTCAACTTAGAAACCCTTAAATACTGGAAGGGAAGAGATAGTGTGGGCAAAGGGAGATACCTTTCCTGAACACCTAGTGTTTTTGTTTTTGTTTTTAATTTTTTTTTAAGACTTTATTTATTTGTCAGAGAGAGAGATGAGAGAGCCAGAGCACAAGCAGGGGGAGCTGCAGGCAGAGGGAGAGGGAGAAGCAGGCTCCCTGCTGAGCAGGGAGCCCGATGCGGGACTTGATCCCAGGACCCTGGGATCATGACCTGAGCTGAAGGCAGACGCTTAACCGACTGAGCCACCCAGGCGTCCCTGAACACCTAGTGTTTTAAAGGACATACAGTGGGTAGATTTTACGTTACCTCTGAAACTCCTTCAACAATCTAGTAAAGTAAAGAGCATCAATGGCATTTTACTCAGAGGTAACTAAAACTTTCCCCATTTGCTTATCTAATATGGAAATCCAATCCAAGATTCTGAGTCAAGAGACTGGGGTGCTAATTTATGTCTCTTAATGGACAGCTGCATGGAGTTGGCTCCTTTTTACTATTTCTAAAACTGGGAGTATAGTCCTTATTGTCCTAGGCAACCTCAGGAGGATTTTTTGAAGATAGAGGCTTTCATTAACATGAAAGCCTTTTTGCTGCCTGAATACATCATAGCCTTTGGAAATCACACCCAGTAGAACTCTATTGCCCTTTTGAAGTGAGAACTTCTCTCTTAGAAGTAGTTCAAGCCCTGGGGAAATTTTGGCTTATTGTGTCCTTTTCAAACTTGTGAGAAAATGTGTATGCTGGGGAGCAATAATTCTTCATTGCAGCCAGAGAGTACCTATCAACACTAAAGCAAGTCCCAAATCACTGGGAGACTGAACAACCTGGACTAAAATAACATTGACATTCATGTTGAGACAGTCAGGAGTGATTTAGAGTCAGAGTTTGATGATCACCACAACAAACTCTTCTAGAGATTTACTAACACTCCAAGGTCAGTGTTTGGAAATTCTTAATGAGTACTCCAATAATAGAAGTATATTTGGACCAAAATAGTATTTTACACTATGTGTATAAATTTTGATTTTGCCACATTTGCAGGATTTTAATAGGCTGAATTTAAAAAAAAACTACTTGATTTGAAAAATATCATGTTACCAAATAACTATTTTGAATATTTTTCTTTTTTTAATTGACTTCGTAGATGAAATTTAGACAAAAATCACTCAAGGGTTTTGGAAATGCTTTAGCACCATGAGCATTCTTTTGGGTTTCTATTATTTTAACTCTGGGGATTTCTTTACGTTCTTTTATCAGGTTCTCCAAAGTACTTATTATTCAAATTGGAGAAACCAGTTCTGCAGACTGCATCCCCAGCGCCTTTTCCAATGATGATAACTGCCTTTAAAATTCTTTCAGACCTGGAGATCTTTCAGGGTGAAACCAGTGGGTAAGTATTTCTTTAAACTATTGTAGATTATGTGAAAAGCTTGACAAGATAAATATGCCTAAGAAAACTAAAAGAAACATGCTATGATATTAATAAGAGTTGTCTTTGGATGATGAGATGATGGGTAACTTTTTTTCCCTTCCTTTTTCCTTACTGTCTTATTTTAAATGGAGAATATATATTGTTTTTTAAATTTATTTTTATGTTTATTTTTTTATTATTATGTTCAGTTAGCCACTTTATAGTACATCATTAGTTTTTGATGTAGTGTTCAGTGATTCATTAGTTACTTATAACACCCAGTGCTCATTATAGCACGTGCCCTCCTTAATACCCATCACCCTATATTGCTTTTATAATAAAGAAGCTTTACTGTTGAAAAAGCAGTTCTAGACACAATAATAGCCATACATATAAAATGAGACCTCAGGTACATGTGCAGGTGACAGAACGCTAAGCAGGGGCACAGACCCATCTCCTGATTGCAGAAACAGATTGTAACTGGATAGTCTGGCCCCCCTGGCTTTCACGTGCTGGCTTCACTGCGGATCACAAATATAACTCCAAACATGGTGACAGGTCTTTGGTACCAGGTTATTTCCAACCCCTTATGGAAGGGTAATACCTTCCTCAAGTAGAACAGCTGAATAATTTTGGTTTTGACTTGAGACTCTAGTTAATCTAGGCTGTTTGGTTCTAAGTAATATATTTACTCTTCAGTAACAAGTGTTAACAAGATAAAAAGTCTGTATAGACGTGAAGGGGAATCAGACTTGTCAATTGTCCAATCTTGACTTTTAATGGGATTGACAGAGATACCAAGTGTATGTCCTGGAAGAGATACCAAGTTCTTATTATGAATGCAGAAAGATCCTATCAAGTCTAGAAAGCTGGCAGGAACTTCTGTCCCAGGATGTTTACTAAACGCTGATTTAAATTGCTAAAACAAACTAAAAAATTTATAGTACACGTGCATACAAATATATAGTTACTCAAAGGCAAACTTTTTACAGTTTTATATTTTATTCATTTCTTCATCAATTCACTAATTCATCAAATGCTTTTCTTAGTATCTTCTCTGTGAGGGACAAAATCTTTGGAGCTGGGAAGTACACCAGAGAAGAAAACACAAAAATCCCTGCATTCATAGAGCTTATGTTTATAGTGCTAGAGAGATTTCAAAACAAATAAACAAGTAAAATATATAGTATGTCATATGGGGAAAACTGTTATGAAGAAAAATAAATCCAGGAGGTGAGGTAGGGCATGCCAAGTAGGAGGTGAGTATGGGGAGAGAGGTCTTGTTGTTTTATTTTTTTTAATTTTTAAATTTTTTTTTTAAAGATTTTATTTATTTATTTAATTGACACACAGAGAGAGGGAACACAAGGCAGGGGGAGAGGGAGAGGGAGAAGCAGGCTTCCCGCTGAGCAGGGAGCCCGATGCGGGGCTTGATCCCAGGACCCTGGGATCATGACCTGAGCCGAAGGCAGATGCTTAACGACTGAGCCGCCCAGGGGCCCCCGTCTTATTGTTTTAAATAGGGTGGTCAGGAAAAGCCTCACCGATTAGGTAACTTGGTGAAGAGATGTAAAAAGAGTTGGTTCCAGACATCTTTAATATTTCCCTTTCACAAATCATTTGAGTAGCAGAAGTGGGAGAGCCCTGATCCAGTGTTTCTGTTATTTTTTACCACACATGGGAAATAATCCAACTTTTTATGCCTTGAGCATGGCACCTTCAGCACAAGAATATGGTTTTTACACAGAAATAATACATGGTAAAAAATTTTCCTTAAAGTTATATGCCTATTGCACAGACCCACTCAACTGTCACTCTTTGGGGTCTGATTGCACTAACACAACCATACACAGGAACATTAGCTTTTTTCCCCTATTCATTCATGTGTTTGCTTTCTGAAGTTGACTTTGAGCCTACTGAAGGCAGGGGTGGGACAATGATTTGTTCATCTTAGCAGCCTCAGTGCTTAGCCTGGTGCCTGGCATTTGTCGGGTCCTCAATGCTTACCAGCTGAATAATCACATTTTGAAAGTAAAATAGACATTGATTTCAAACAGCTTAAGAGATTCATGCCCAGTGGCCACATTTACCTATTAAACTGCCCAAAGTAGATAACTGTCTTACATCATGATGACCTCTGACCTTCTTTAGGCCCTATATGGAGCTGCCACGAGGACTCTGTAAAACAAAGTGATGGTGTTTCCAACAGCAGTACGTCCAGTATGAGGAACTCTAAGAGGTTTCTAATCCCCATTTTTCCCATGACAGTGCTGTAACATGGGACCTCTGTCATACCCACATATTTCTTCTACCTAGGTGACAGATCATTTGGCTAGGTTCTCTTTCTGACTAGATTAGGGGACAAAATTATGACAGTTTATGATATCCATACTTGAGAGAGCAATGAAAGGGGGCAAAGGAAACTAAAAGCTTTATTTTACAGTGGAGTCCTGATTCTAGACCTTACTAATTGTGTGGTTTTAGACTAGTTGCTGCATCTCTGCAAATCCATGACCTCATCTGTAAACTGGGAGTAATAATTACTATCGTTTGGAAACACTGTTATGAAGTATCATTGTGTTGATCATAGCAGCATTATTATGAAGGTTAAGTTGGATAATATATAAAGCATTTGGTAGAGTGCCTGGTACGTAATGTGAGTGTTCAGTAGGTTTTTGTTAATACTTTCACTACTACTATTAATGTTACTATTAGAGAAATCAGGCAAGTAAGATTTTTTAAATCAGTTGTTGAATGTTTATATGATCATTGAGGATGATGCTCATCAATATATTTGCACTTCAAAATTTACCTCCTTCTATATACTTGTAATAATATTAAACCAAGTAACATTTATAATATTCTTGAATGTCTCTCCTATCACTTAAGAATATGAAGAAAACGTAAGATATTATATTAAAAAAATGTCAGCTGCAAAATGGAACGGTATCTCACAGAACATTTCTGTGGTTCTGGAGTGCCCTATATGCCAAGGAGCACTTTAGCAGGCAAATTACCATCATGGTGGTTGACATAATCTCTGTCACTCTGAGGCTTTTCTTGGGGAAAGTTACAGTCAATGGAAGTCCTTATCTTTGTAGGTGGAAAAGGAATGCCTTAATGAGGTCTGAACTCTCATCTGATAACTTTCATTTCTTGTTTCCTTAGAGTCTTGAAGTACGACTAAGGCAGAAACCAGCAGCAGCACAGACCTCACCAAGTCGTGTGATTATGGAGATGGTCTACCCGATGCTGAAAACGTATCTAGTTTTTTGACAGCGGCTGACTAACCATGGGGTCAAGTGGGCTTGGAAAAGCAGCAACATTAGATGAACTGTTGAGCACTTGCATTGAGATGTTTGGTATGAGCCTTTTCTCCCTTTGATATAGCTTGATACTCCCACCTCTCCCTATTCAGATGTGAGTGTTGCTGTGGAACAGAATTCAGTCTCCATCTTTGGCATTTAAGTCCTTTGTGATTGACCCCAGTCTCTCTCCCTAGTAACACTGCCCTGTGCATTTCCTTCCCTTTAATGCCCACAGCTAATATGCCAGCCATACTGTCCACTTAATGCTTCTGGAACATCCCCTGCATCTTTCTACCTCTGTGCCTTCACTGAAATTCTGCTTCAGGGCTCAGCTCAGATGCTGTTTCAGATGTTCATCATACCATTCCTAATCTCTGCTGTCAGGAATGCTGATTGCTTCCTCCCACAGCCCTTTGTGACTTTCCCATGGTGCTATGATCATTTCTCGGTCTTTTGGATCACAGAAGTGTGGATAGCACAGTCTGCTGCATTCTAATTTGCATATATGTCTTGTATCCCCTACTAGGTTACAGACTTTACAGCTATGTGCTTTTTCATGTTGTTTACATATCCACCTCAGCATTTCAGATTATTCTTTGTACAAATGGAGTCACATTTGTACAAAACCAATGGAGTCACATTTGTACAAAACAAATGGAGTTGTTTTTTTAATTGTTTTTTAAATTGATCATTACAGGAGGAGTTAGACCAGAGTAGGGTGGCCAGATAAAATACAGGATGATCAGTTAAATTTGAATTTCAGATAAAGTTTATTTTTAGTGTAAGCATGTCCTAAATAATGCATGGGTCCTACTTATACTAAAAAATTATTTGTGGTTTACCTTAATTCAGATTAACTAAGTGTCCTGTATTTCTGTTTGCTAAATCTGGTAGTCCACCAGAGGGTGGGTGAAACCCCACATCCACTTAACTTGTAAGAAAGTACCAATGGAAAGAGGAGGAAAACAATAATTGGGTCTACAAGAAATTTTTGACACTAATGTTTCTCTACTGTTATTAGAAAAAGAGAAGAGTAGTACTGTTGTCTCCTCACCCCTCATTTTATTTTATTTTTTAACAGATGACAATGGAGAGCTGAATAATAGTTATTTGCCAAGAATAGTTCTACTGATGCACCGATGGTATTTATCTTCCACTGAATTGGCAGAAAAACTTCTCTGCATATATCTTTTCAACTACCGTGTAACTTCTACGATCATAAATCAAGTTCTGTATTTAGATAGAGTGTCTAACAAAAGCCAGTAAATTAAGATGAATAAATAGTCTTTAGTCAGTTATCCAGCTGTTTTGTGGATATATATAGATGTCTAGACAAGACATCTGGATGATGGACCAAACAGTTGACTATCCATCTGGATGTTTTGGCTCTACTTAAAAATAATCACTAGATATAAAATGAAACAGAAGCTATAGGCTGAATGTTTCTAACTTGACTTAAACATTTCTGCTGTTAGTACAATGAAAGAATAGTCAACACTGATTCCAGACCTAATTTATTCCTTTTAGGATAGCAAAATGATGGACGTAGAGGATACAGTTTAGACACATAGAAATGCCAGCCAAAATAATAGGATCTGGCTCAGGCACAGACACCACCTGAGTTTTCACATCTTTCCTTGCTTACAAGACACAAAGAACATTCTAGCAAGTTTATTGCGATTTGTTGGTTGATCTTAATTTCAGATTTCCTTCTGATATAAAAGCAAAAAAAAAAAATAGTAGAAACTCCAATTTTATAATAAGGGCTTTTAGCAGTCTATCACTTTGAACACACAGCAGTCCTGAAAGGTGGTTGAAAGCCGAATGGTCCAAAATGAAAAAACAGTCTCAGATTTATAAGGATGTTTTTTTTCCCCAGAGATCTAACGTTTATTATGTAATCACTAATATTGGTTCCTACAGTCTCGGCCTATTTCAAGCCCAGGGGACCTTGCAGATGACTGGGAAGACTTACAGGGTAGGAGGAGCCTGAAAGGCAGAGGGTCTGTCAAATGATTCTGAGGGTCACGTGGGCGTCCATCTGCTCATTGCAAGCTTCCTCCACTTCCTACTTCTTCCCTCCATCCTCCCTACAACCTCAGGGCAGAAGGGGATGCAGAAAGGGTAAGGGGACATTAACCCTGAACAGAGGTCCCTGAAAGTGAGCAAGATCCTAGTCCCCAGATCTCAATATTGAGGGGTAGGGTGTAGATGACAATTATTCAGTGCTGACATCGTCAGAGCCCATTGTCTTCCCATTTGAACGTCCACATAACCCAAATGTCCCCAGGATGGCCTTCTTATTAGGAATTCATCTAAATTGGTCAAACAGCTGCAGGTGTGGGCAAAGGAAACAAGGTGCAGGGATTTTTTCTTTAACTAGTGTACGTATCGAGATGCCAGTGGAGAAAGCTGTGATGAATTTCGGTTAAAGATCTGCTACTTCATGAGGTAAATATACATGTAATTGTCTTGTAGGGTATGGTTCTGGAATTGTTGACAATTTCTTTCTGCCCAGACAGTAGACCTAGTCTGGCAATAGAATTGACTCAGATTCCCCCCTTTATTGATTTTATTTAAATTGGCCTTCCTCTGTTCCTGGGAGTAGAATTTATCTTTCTTTTAGAGACCAAGCAGTAGCAAATGTGATTAGGGAATGAAACTAGCTCTTGGAAAGAGTAAATTCATTTTATCTTTCTATTTCCCCACCATAAGCTTTCCCATCTAGTTGCCATAAGTTGGGGGAAGGGTTTGATTTCAGCTGTGGTTCAGCACTTAGATGCGAGCCCAGATGCTCAGGACTTAGGGTCAGAAAGAGAGGCTCAGAGTGGGAGTGGTAGACTTGGGTCCTTGATTGAAGGAGGGAAGAGTGAGACCCCACGTCATCGGTGGGGAATAGGAGATTGCTAATTTGGGGTATGGTCCTGGGTTCATTGTTAAACGTAATCTGTAAAATGATACAATAGTTTCCATAAAGGTCTAGCTTGAAATCTTCTCTTCATCAAAAATACTCGATGCCTTTCAGGTACTGGATTCTCAAGTTTCCTGCAGAGTTTAATTTGGACCTTGGTTTGATCCGTATGACTGAAGAGTTCCGGGAAGTAGCTAGTCAACTAGGGTATGAAAAGCACATCAGCCTCATCGACATATCCAGCATGTAAGAGTGGCACACGTTTCTTTCCACATGATGAGCCCACTGTTTGGGGGAGAGAGTAGTGGTGGCCCTGTTGGTGAACTCAGTTACTAGGAACTCAGTGCTAATGAGACTAGCGTTTTATATCTACTAGGTAACTTTGCACAGAGAAAACTATTTAATGACCCTAAGAATGGTTATACCATCTTGCAAAGATAAGCTCTTGTGTCCTGGGCATTCATACTCTAGTCCTTTTTCCTAGGATACTTCTTCAAGAATCTTGATCAACAGTGCATGATCCAGGAATCACCAGGGATGTTGTTAAAAATAGAGATTATTCAGGTTCATTCCTGGTAAATTAGAATCTCTGGCAGTGAGGTCAGATATCTCTATATCACGAGCTTTTCAGATAATCCGTATGTTGCTGTGGTGTGAGAACCAACTTCGGGTGGCTTTCATGTGCCTTAAATCACCATCCTATATATTGATAATCTGCCAAATTTATAGACCTAACCCTGATCTCTCCCCTATGATCCCAACCTTACCGGTCATAAGAAAGAGCAAGTAAGAGATTCTTGATGGATCAGTGCAAACGCACCCTGTCTGGAAAAACAACTCACAATTTCTGTTCTATTGGCAGTGGGTCAGTGGTTTTCTCTTCAGATATGAAGGACAGGGCGTGTATTTTGCACAAGCTTCTGGAAGCAGGCCAAGAGTTACAGAGTCAGTAGGTTAATAACTTCCATTGAATGAAATGGCCTTTCAGCACATTGACCAGACTCACTGTTTCTTTTATAGTCCTTCCTATGACTGGATGAGAAGAGTCACACAGAGGAAAAAAGTATCCAAGAAGGGAAAAGCCTGTCTGCTGTTTGACCATCTGGAGCCCATTGAATTGGCTGAGCACCTCACTTTTCTGGAGCATAAATCTTTTAGAAGGATCTCAGTAAGAAACTGACGTATATTCTTCCAAGGATAACAACCACCATGCCAACTTTCCCAAGAGCTACGTTTTCATACCCTGAAGTGTTGGCAGCCTTTGTCATTGTGCTCTATTGGAAAAGTGCCCTGAACTCACAGGAACAATCCCTTTTAACCAAAGATAAATATTATCCTGTCTTTATTTTATGGCTTAGGAGCTATATATCTGTCGCTATTTTCAATGTCTCCTTTCATAGGATTAAAGCATGATTTTCTAAATACTCAGTGGAGATTTAACCATTCAAGGTTTATGGAGCTCCACTGACTTCTCCCAAGTGACCATGTTTTGCTAGGCCCTTCATTTGAGGAACAAAATCTTTATTTAGGTTGGGATTTGTATAAATGCTTAATTATGGGTGTAGGTTGAAAATAAGAATTGTAGGCTTTGATGAGAATCTCATATTAGGTTGTTTCTTTCCCAGGAACGGAGATCCTGAATTAAACTTTTCTTTCCTACTCTGTCGTGATAGCGTTTCTTCTCCACCCCCTTTCTCTTGCTCCTGACTATGGTCTCATGTCTCTTCCTAGCCACCTACTCACTATCCACTTGTTAGGATAATATTTCTGCAATGGCTCATAATCAGCCTTTGTCTTACCAAGCTCTGGGGCAGTCATTCTTCCTCCTTCTTTTCCAAGATGCCAGGGAATTAAATATATTATTACTTGCAAAGCAGAACATGAAGTTAGAAGTATGGATTTCTGAAAGACAGATTCTTTTCAATAAATAATCCTATTGGAGAGGGCCTTCATGGTTCTCCACCAGCAGTCCATGAAAAGGAACCCCCTGCACTGTTTATATGATGGAAAGCTCATATGTATTTGATGAAATCCATGCTGACTTCCTGAGAAGGTGTCTGTTTTGCTAAGGAGCTACCTTACTTCAACTACTGTTTCTTTTTTTTTTCTTGAAAAAACTTTACAAAATTATTCTGACTTGAAATCATTATATTCATATTCATTTCCTTTTCTTTAATGTATGCCATTGTATCTCAAACTTGCCTGACCACTGGAATCACCAGTAGTGACTGAAAAATGGAGATTCTTAGATTCTTCCTCTGGAGAGATTGATCCCATTAGGTCTCAAGTGTTCCCAGAAACCAATAGGTTGAAACACAAATGCCCCAGGTGGATCTTACGGTCCAGCAAATTTGGGACTCACTGGAATGTGACTTCGAATCTTGTCCCTCCCCACCCCACCCCTGACACTGTGATGTGTAAGTGTGTGTCTGTGTATGGGGGAGTGAAACACAGCAAAACAATATATTAAGGGTACCTGTATATTCAAATGTGTAAGATGCCATTATAAATGTGAAATGAAAGAAATCATTATGTTGTTATGAAACAGTATTTCACATCTTCCATGCAACATTCTAATTTCTGATTTTGCAAAGACTCCATTTTAATTCAGAGTCTCTGAATCTTCCTTTACTAGTTCACTGATTACCAAAGCTATGTCATCCATGGCTGCCTGGAGAATAACCCAACCTTGGAGAGATCTATTGCTTTATTTAATGGAATCTCTAAGTGGGTCCAGTTGATGGTTCTTAGCAAACCAACCCCCCAGCAAAGGGCAGAAGTCATTACAAAGTTTATCAATGTTGCCAAGGTATGTATGTCTGGGAGTTAGATGGGGGTTCTTTTTTTTTTTTTTTTTTTTTAGGATTTTATTTATTTATTTGTCAGAGAGAGGTAGGAGGGAAACACAAGTAGGGGGCAGCTGCAGAAAGAGGGAGAAGCAGGCTCCCCGCTGAGCAAGGAGCCCAATTCAGAACTTGATCCCAGGACCGCAGGATCATGACCTGAGGCGAAGGCAGATGCTTAACCGACTGAGCCACCAAGGCGTCCCCTAGACAGGGTTCTTAAAGGAATCTAGATGGTCCTTCACTCTAGGGAAAAGTTGTTGAAGAAATTTGGGGTTCACAATATAAAGGACAATTAAAGTATTCATAATATCTAGTGAACAACTCATACTGCTATCATGCAAGAAGATTGCTTTTAATCGGCAATACTTAGAAGCATTTATGATAACTTTTTTTTGTAAAATGATTAGTATGTTTTTCTGGTGGATTGCATTTGTGCTTCATTTTAAATTGATGTTTTTCTTAGATCCTTGTTATTGAAATTGTGCATGCATTCACCTGTAATCCAGAAAGACCAGAATAATTGAAAAATTGTTGCGAAGTATTGATGTTAACATTTTTGTATTGCAGAAGCTCCTCCAGCTCAAAAATTTTAACACTCTAATGGCAGTGGTGGGAGGCCTTAGTCATAGCTCCATTTCACGCCTCAAGGAGACCCATTCTCATCTTTCTTCAGAAGTTACAAAGGTACAGTGGATTAGATCCTAGTCCCAAGTGAAAAAGTCATCTGGAAATTGTTTAGGGATAGGATGCTTCTAACAAATGTCACTCACAGGGGGACAGTGTTCTTCTTAGGCAATTATTGGTTACACATGGAGAATTCAGTAGGAAGGGAGTAGGCACACTGCCTGGAAAACCAGACTAGAAGTGGTGGCAAGTGTCCCAATAGGAAGGACTTGAATACAATTAACGTATTGCAGGTGTGAGTACTCTACAAGTCTGCATTTGGTCCTTGCTATGTGATATGCTCTGTGACACACACGGGGGGTGCAAGACAAATAAGACAAATCATTCCTACCCTGCCCTCCTCAAAGGAAGTCATTGAACACCTGCTCTCTTCAAAGCACTGTGTTTGGCACAGTGAAAGAGACAAAGGAAGAGGGAGATGTAGACCTTGTCCAGAAATCCCTCAGATTTATAGGTGAGTTTTCAGGAACAAAAATATATTTTTTTAAAAAACAACAATCATTTCCCAAACTGAGCTTTTTCTGCCATATCTGTTTCCAGACCATAATAATAACAGTTTTCCTTATTGAGTGAAAAAGAACATTTCTTCCTTATGAAAAGAGTTCCTTATAAGCATGGAGTTTGCTGTATCAGTAAGGATACTTTTCAGCTATCAGTTGAGAAAAATCTGGAAATTGCTGAAACAGCAAGGGAATGGGCCATCTCACATACCTGTAAGTCCAGAGGCAGGGCCAGATCCACGCATGGTCTTATCAGAGCTCTTGGCTCAGTAGCTCTGTCTTCCTTGGAGGATCAGGTTTTTGTTTGTTTCATTAGACTGGCTTCCTTCCTGATTGGACCATCTGCAGCAGCAGGAAAATGATGCTCTCTTGTTTTGTTTTTGTTTTTTTTCTTTTTTTTCTTTAAGATTTTATTTATTTATTTGTCAGAGAGAGCGAGAGAGAGAAAGAACACAAGCAGGGGGAGCAGCAGGCAGAGGGAGAAGCAGGCTCCCTGCTGAGCAAGGAGCCTGATGCGGGGCTCCATCCCAGGACCCCAGGATCATGACCTGAGCTGAAGGCAGACCCTTAAGGGACTGAGCTACCCAGGCGCCCCATAAATGATGCTCTCTTGCTCATGAAAATTGGAGATAGGGAAAAAAATCTCTTCAGCCCTGCCCTCATGGAACGAAAGACCTTCTTTTTAGGCAGATTCGCCCACCTCAAGTCACATGCTCACCACTGGGCCAATAACAGTTGCTAGAGGAATATAATCTACTGATTGGCTTAGGTCTGTGTTCCTGAACCAATCACAAACTAAAGGGATAGAATTATGACGATGGTAAATCAGAACCCATCCTTGGACCTGGGAACGGAGGCAGCTCCATCTGAGTGACATGGTATGCTTGGAGAAAGTATAGCGCCCTCGAAATTGAGGTCTGGTTGCTGTTAGGCAACTAAAAATAAACAGAAGGATATAAGCCAAGATGCACAGCTGCCCGACCTAAAACACTCATTCTAAGTGTAATGGGGCTCGTTATCTAAGTGTCTTATTTTCCTTTAGTTTTGTACTGAATTTCAAGTAAAGAGCAAAACACATTTTACATGTTGTGAAGAATAAGAATTCAGTAGGGGCTCTTAGAGGCTTGGAACCACCAGTGTATCTTCGAAAATTATTTGAACTCTTTCCTACAGAAAAGGAAACTGAGGCCCTTCAAAATGAAGTTGCTTGCTCAAGGTTGTGCTTCTAGTTAGTAGCAGAGTCCCAGACCATAGCTATCTCACACCTCAGTGTGGCTTTTCCTACCCCATCCCGTCCCAGATTAACCTTCAAGTAATACCATGAAGGCAACTTTCTTAGAACAACTAGGACACTATGTTAAAAAAAAAAAAAAAAAAAAAAAAGAAGATAATAGGAAGGGAAAAATGAAGGGGGGGAAATCGGAGGGGTTGACGAACCATGAGAGACTATGGACTCTGAAAAACAAACTGAGGGTTCTAGAGGGGAGGGGGGTAGGAGGATGGGTTAGCCTGGTGATGGGTATTAAAGAGGGCATGTACTGCATGGAGCACTGGGTGTTATACGCAAACAACGAATCATGGAACACTACATCAAAAACTAATGATGTAACGTATGGTGATGAACATAATAAAATTTAAAAAAATAAAATAAAGGCAAAATAAAAAAACAAAAAAATTTAAAAAAAGAACAACTAGGACACTGTAATATACTACATACTATATTTTAATAGGATACATGCTTATATTTGTGGACTGTAATATTTCCATGAATTGCAAAATACTTACGGCTATTTGAGGCTATTTTACATCCCGAGAGCACTAGCAGGCAGGAAGAGGTGCAGGCGGTTTCTGCTCAGCAGGAGACTAGAACAGGCTGCCCCACTTGTAGCCAGGCCCAGTACATTTTTCTGATTTTCTTTTTCCAGGTTAATATTTCCCTGCATCAGTGTTGGTGCAATCGATACTTCTCTCAGTGGCTGAGGAATGTCCTAGCCGCCCAGGGCAGGGCCTGGGGGTGGGCGGAAAGGAAGACTGAAACCTCTGCTTTTCCATCTGTTCTCAGAACTGGCATGAAATGACAGAGCTGGTCTCCTCCAGCGGTAATTACTGCTGCTACCGCAGGGCCTTTGCTGACTGTGAGGGCTTCAAGATCCCCATCCTCGGCGTGCACTTGAAAGACCTGATAGCGGTCCATGTCATTTTCCCAGACTGGACGGAGGACAACAAAGTGAACATTGTAAAAATGCACCAGCTCTCCGTGACCCTCAGCGAACTGGTGTCCCTGCAGAATGCCTCCCACCACTTAGAACCCAACATGGATCTGATCAACCTACTCACGGTGAGTTCAAGGGACCAGGGTTTGTGCTAAGGGCCCTGCGTGCCTCCCTGCACGGGGGGTGCAGGAACATCCGGGACAGTCATTCACCAGGTTGTGTGCAGGGCCAGCAGACCGGGAGAGATCTGCAGGGGTGGGTGAGGGGAGAGGAGCCCAGCCCTATAAGCAGCATGAATTGAGACTATAATCTTGGGGCCAAGAAATTTTCCCTTGTCTGGAGGAGCCTAATCAGCACCCCTATAGCTCCACATCCAGAGCTCTTAGAGAGGCCCTCCAGCTCTCAGCCCCTCCCTCTCCCTCATCACACCTGTCTAGTTCATCACCTCCCTCTACATGGCCTCCTCTCGTCTGCTTCCCTTTGCCCTCCCTGCGCAACTGTAGCTGGAATCTGGGGTAATGTCAGGACCTCCTCTGTCATCTCCCTGCCCCCATGGCCAATCTCCCCAAAGCCGCCTGGCATTCGAGGCCCTTCCAGACTCATTGTCTATCTAGACTGTTTTGTCATCACCTGATCCCACATCACACTTGCCTTTGAGGAACGTTGGACTTTCCACTGTGAACCGTGGCCTTCTGCTTCCTGGCCTTTGCCCTTTCTTGGAAAATCCCTTCCCCTACCCACCCCTGTGACTAGCTCACATTCAAAAGCCTCTATCTTTCTGGAGCATTCTCTGTTCCTCTCCAGAGCAGTAACACATCTGTCACATGTGTGGCTTTTGCCGTTTATACTTTCTTAACCATAGGAGGTATCACTTTGTAATAGATTTTTTTTTCCTGTTTACCTGACTTACACATCCCATAGCCCCAGCACCTCTCATGGTACCTGGCATATTTAGGAGCTCAACAGATGAATTGAACACTGTATTTCGGAACGAAGTGGGTCAGACAGAAGACATTCATCTAGCATTCATATTTTTTTGTCATTTGTGGCTGGTCTCCAGGTGCTAGGGCTTTTAGACCCAACAGGTGTAGAGAAGAAAACCTTCCCCATTGGCGGCTGCTTTGTTTGGGGGGAGGAGGCATAACCAAATTCTTTCACCCTTGTTTAACAAATGGAGAAGCAACTTCCCAGTTTGGATTTATAACACTGAAGCATCTGACACTTGGCTGCAATATTCAGTTGACTATTTTCCTTTAATGGCCATGGAAAATGAAAACAATAACACTTCTGAAGCTCTGAGAGCGTGAATCCCCTAGGACTGCTACCCTGGAGTAAGAGTGTTGGTTCCTAGACCTTTTCACAAACTATTCCTAGAGCACATAATTGTTTACCAAAAAACAGAACCCCTGAAATGTATGTAGTAATGGAAGCCGCACCTTGATACAAAGCGGAAGTGGCCAAGACCCAGAAACATGAATCTCTTGGGGCTGAGTTTGTATGATAAACAGTAAACACACAGACATTCTCTATTAGGGGGGAAAAAAAACCCTCACAATAAACCAGGCACCTGCATTTATTAATCATTTGCCATGTAAATCTGTTTCCATGAATAAGCGACCAGAGTTGCAGCCCCCATCAGACTGCAAACCCACAGGCCCAGGTGATGTCTGCAGAGCGGCCTGAGTTCCCCACGTCTGTGTGCAGGCTGTCCTTACCATGTGGAGGAGAGCTTCGCAGAGCAGGCGCCCATGCTCAGGCATTTTCTCATCCACACAAAAGATAGGGTTGGAGGAGGGGAATGGATTTTGAGTTTTTTTGGGTGCCAATGGAAAATTTGAACTCTAGAAATAAAGATTAAGCATTTTTTTTTTTTTTGCTGGGAAGGAAAGAAAAAAGGAAGAGGATGCCAGTCTCTCTCTCTCTCTCTCTCTCTCTCTCTCTCTCATATTAAAGGAGAATATAGAAGCCACCAAACACCATATTTAGGAAGAGCAATGTTATCTAGTGTACTGCAGTGACCAGAATCCTAGGTGGGAGATCTAGCTTCTAGCTCTATGTGTGCAGTTACTTAGTTTTGTCTCCTCGCTAACTGGACTTGACTCTGGACTTTTCATAAAGGGTTTTGTGCTCATTTGTGAGATCTCTTCCAGCTCTAAACTTCTGTGATTCTAAATATAAGGACTGGTGGAACCTTGAGAATAAGGAAGTTCGTGTCAGTCTGATTCTGTGGTTCCAGCCCAGTGGCTCCTCAGGATAGCACAGCCCCACACATGAGCATCGATCAGCAAGCCAGTTTCTATTTACAGCCAACATCCCCCCTTCCTCCCCACAACCAAGCAGAAGGTTCAGGGCATGGGAATATATGTTCATTCTTCCTGGCCACAGGCAGATGAATCTCTTCAGTGCAGATAGAGGAGACTCCCATCAGGTGTTCACTGGAGCCCAGTGGGCATTTCATGAAGCACATATGTGTTGGGATTAGAACCATTTGATTGACAGAAGCTGCCCAAATGCATGTGAAGGCATACATAAGTGCAGGTTCGTTGGAAGGGACCATTCTTTTGCCGCAAGACTCTAGGTCAGGTTTTTGCCCAAAGTGATTGTTTGCTTCTAAACATGGCCCCAGGCGAGGAAGCCAATTCACAATCGAGAGCCCTGGAAGATAGAAAATAAGAACTCTTAAATGAATCACAACTACTGAATGTCTGCTCCGTGCTGTGAGCTGTATAGCAATGTTTGAACTTTCTGTAATAATTGGTTGCCTTTTCACAACACTTCCCTGTACTTTTCCTTGGTTCTCACAGACACTCTCAGAGCTAGCCTCTGCAGGCCAGAGCCTGTAAATTCACCCCTGCCCCTTTGTGTTTTACAAAGGAAGAAACATTTCTAAAGGACAAAAGGCTTGCAAATGGGGAACTTCTGAATCCCACTGTGGAGGGGTGGGGGCACTCCCTCCCCGCCCAGTGATGGACATTTACTCCATAATATAGGAACATTGCTAATATTTATTTTATTTTGCATCTATAATAATTAAATAATCTCTCTATTCCTCTTCATGGGTATCTAAAGAAGGAGTTAATTATAGAACCAAATCTATGAGTCAGGGACTCTGATGCCATTTTTATCATTGTAAACTTACCCCCTGAATAGCACTGGGCACATGAAGGAAGGAGGACCCCAGCACTAAACTGTTGGGATTTGGATTGTTCCCCTTTTCAGGGAAGATCTAGAGAAGGCATTTTCCCTTGCGATCCGTCCCAATCCTGGAACCAGAAGTTTTAAAAGCTGATGCTTCTTGCTTCATGGTATATGAAATCATCTGATTCTTTTCATAGTATTTTTAGATCTATCAGTTACTTTTACCATTCTGAGTATATGCAAATAACTGGAAAGCCCCCTGTATTTTTACAGTTTCAAAAAGAAAAAAAGAAGAAGAAGAATTGCAAAAATGGTGAATGGCGATAATTTGATGACCAAGTGTGTTTTATTTTACAATTCTCCAGTCAAGGCAATATGGTCTGAATGTACAGGGTAAATCCACAACCATCTTTGCTGATAGGCTTGGATGTAAATGCAGCAAACTGTAACAGTGACTCAGGACATTTTTCAAAAACAGTCAGACTCAAAATATGTGAGACACAAGCAAGCATTCCTGAAATTCCATTGACAAGCTGCCTATAATTATAAAATAGAGGTGTATAGGAAGTACAACAGGTTACTCTACGCGGGGCCATAAACCACAGAGGCGATGAGAGAATGCACCTAGGTAGGATTGTGGCTGGGAAAGCAAAGAGCTGGCAGGAGTAACCCAGGGGCAGCTTTGCATTCGTTGATGCATGCAGTGGTATTTGGCTGGGAGCCAAACCCTGCAGTGCCTATCTCTATGGCCCGCTAAACAAATCTTGCTGGTTACACGTTAACTCATTTAATCTTCACGGCAGTCCAAGGAGGGACCTATTATTTATGCCTCCCATTTTATAGACTGGGAGACTGAGACCCAAGAAGGTTAATGACTTGCCCAGGTTCACAACAGTGCTAACAGAGAGCAAACATTTGGAGAAGATATCTCCATCATAACACCCGATATCTGTCCATGTGATGTATGAAAATACTCAAGGATGTTCTGTGTCTTTTGAAAGAGCATCTCCCCTACATGGTATGTGGTTGTTGGGATTTCTGGTCAGATGTTCTGGCACGCTTGTCATCCCTTCTCCAGCAGATGCCAGTGCCAATCACTAGAGGCCTAATCAGGAGGACAGGAACATGCTCATCAAAGTCCAGAATAACTCCTGGTAACAAGGAATTGTTACTTGATTTTCTTTCTGTTTATGTAGTGTTCACAATGCAAGGCAGCAAGCTGTGGCTGGGATTGCAGAGGCAGAAAAGACGGATGCGCTGCCTGCTTTCTTGAGGCTTAGAAGCCAGTAGAGTTTTCCATTGTGGAATTTACAAAATGGCGGGCAACTGCCCGTGGCAGATGGGTTTTATTTGGCCCACATGGAATCATAAAATTTTTTAATTAGTTGCCAGTATTTAATAATGGAGATATTTCATAGAAAACTCCAGATTTCTGGCTTCTTTTGACAAAAGAGAAGATATGGCACTTGTCAGGCTGACAACTTGCCTTGGCTGAGCAGTGGTTGTCTCCCATCCACCAGGAACCACAACTCTCCCTATTGCTTCCCTAACCCAGAGATCCATGTCAGATTCTACTTATCACAAATTTTTTTGTTGTTGAGCTCAGAGAGCAGGGCCCCAAGGTAATTACATCTGCAAAGACGTTTTTTGCAAAAAAGACATCGTTATACCAATGTTTCTATCAAAAGAGTTCTTTCATGCATCCCATTGCGTTCTTTTATATAATGGGCTGGCCCTTAGAGGCACTGGTTTGTGATATGGGGATGGTTCCTCTCCTGCAAAAAGACGGAGCCCCTGGAGGTAGGAGTGACTGCTCTTTAGGGGAAGGTGGATACAGTGTCCATTCTTTGTGAGCAGGATTTTCAAGATCTGAAATGATGCTGGGGCAATTTTATAATAAAGTCAATTTTATTATGTTTAGAAAAAAATCTCTAGGTGACAAAGTCTAGGTAAAGCAATATATGACCCAATGTCTGAAATCCTTAATTTAAATGTATTTAGTAGCTAGAATAGTGACTAGAATGGTCCTCAGCACATATTAGATGATCAATAAATCTTTGCTGAATGGATGAATGATTAATTCAAAAATGACATCTATTAATACCAACTTTTTAAAAATGAGAACAAAAAGATAAATCCTTGAAAGATGTCCTTTGCCTCTGAGTTTTCTCCCACTTCCTCCTCCTCGCTCTTCTCCCTCACTCCACACCCATACACATTAAGTCTTTATTTTTAGACCAAATATGTTAAATGTTTCATGCCTAAGTGGTCAAAGAAAGAACAGGGCACCTGGTTACATTCACTTCTGATGAAATGATGTGATTCATCAGGTATCTTAACATTGAAGAGTGGGGGTGGGACTCATCCAGGCTTATTTGTAGTCTCATGACTTCTATTTTAAGTGAATGGGACCATGCATTTTAGGTTTTACTGATTTTATCCATACTCTTCAATCTTGGTCTATGTTGGTATCCTTCCTGCCCTGATCTTTCCCTCTTTCTTTGCCCAAGTCCTCCGAGTTAGGTCCTAGTTCACAAGTTCCTCTGTGATTCCGTCTTGATCATTTCTGTCTTCGGTGACCCCCACACATAATAATAATATCAGTAGTAACAGCTGCAACACCAAATAACCTTTCTTGACATTTCACTGTGTACCAGGGCCCCTGTGTAGCACTTCACATGAAGTATTCCATTTGATCCTGATCAAAATGCAATTCAGTAGGGACTTTTATGATAATTTCCACTTTACAGATGTGGAAACTGAGTATCAGAGAAGATATAACTGGCTCAAGGTGACAAGGCTAAGCAGTGGCAGGCTCAGCACTTGAACTCAGGCCCTTCGGACTCCAGAACCTCTCCCTCTGCTGTATACAGCACCCCTGAACAATCCCTACCTACCTCATTGAGAGTGTTGCCTTTTATTGATGTAAATACATCTGATGTAACTCATAGGATGCTGATGGCCATACTAGGTTTCCCTGTTTCTTTTTAAAAGTTCATGTTCTACCTCTACATATTATCTTTCTAATGCTCTTCATGCTCTCAAATTATTAGACATTGAGCTAACACATTGAGTTTGAAAAATATTTCAGCCATGTAAATAAATAAGTAAATGTGATCCAACATCATTGTTTATCCCTTCTAATTTGTTGTAGCTTTCTCTGGACCTCTACCACACAGAAGACGATATTTACAAACTGTCACTGGTGCTGGAGCCTAGAAATTCTAAATCGGTAGGTGGTGTTTTCTCTAAGGATCAGTGGCAAACACCGTTGTTCGTCATTTATCGTAAGTGCCTGTTACAGTGAGGCTTTGTGATCTGAAGATTGAAGAATTTTAAAAATCTGTATTATTCCATTTTGCCCATGGAATGGCTGAGCCCTGACAGTTTAAGGATTAGTTCTTCATATCAGAGGCTAATAAAGAAGAACGTTATTCCCAATTACTCTGTTTTATTGTTTATCTTCTATGTGTTGTGTCCCGTCTGAGAACTTGTGTACCTATGGGGCATCCTCCCAACAAAAGAAGAACTCATCTTAATGTTAAAGAGCGTTTAGAGTCTTCAATATAAAATCTCATTTAGCATAAAATTAAGCTTAATAAATTTTGAAGACCCTGATCATAATTCACAAATTTCCCTGCTAATGACCGACTCAGCTCAGAATTTCAGTATCACATTGGATCATGTCTCAATTAATGGCTGACTCTTAGGAAAGAAACATTCTACGCTGAGATTGAGGAAATTGCATTACTGAAAGTACACTGGTCATTAGTTTTAGTGAGTGGACTGTATCTTAGATATGTTTTGTGCTAGTAAGAAAATACCTGGGCAAATTTGAAATTTACAGTGAGGATGTGGTTTGCATGTTGAAGGAAAAACTGTCTATGTTGGCTTCTTAGAGTCATATCCTGAGATCAGGGTTCTGATAAAGACCTCATGCCTTACCTCCTTACCGGTTGAATTCTGTGGCATGTTGCCAGAGACATGGACCTTAAATGTGACCCTCTATTCTGATTCTGAAGCATCAGCCCGAAAGAGGCAGAATGACTGTGACGTGCTGGGAGAGTACGCACTTGAGTCTGAGTCCGTTGACCTGGTAGCATCTGTTCTTACGATCTTGAGTATGGTGTTTCCATCAGCATGTTCACCTCCCCACCAGTCCCCAGAGGCCCATCTCCTGGGGACACTGAAGAACAGACCCATGTGGGGAGATAGAGGCCAAAGGGAGGAATGAGGGCTAGACTCTGCAAAGTTACCATGCCTAAGAGCTGGAGAGAAAAGCGAAGTTATTAGAAAAAAAGGAATTCATGAGCTCTTCTCTCACTCCTTAGCTTTGGTGTGAAGAAGCTGATTGCAGGGTGGCAAGCTGTTCCATGTGCACGTGGCATTTCCACCACCCTGCACCTCCCTCTTCCTGTAACCGGGCACCTTAATTGCTACCGGTTGGTTGTTGGGCACCTGGTGGGGGCATCATTATCTCATTAACTCTTAAGGAAATGGAGTCTGGTGAGGACAGGCGTCTCACACGGAGCACACAGCCAGTATGTGGGAGAACTGAGAGGTGGGTCAGGCCTGTCTGTCTTCAATGCCTGTGCTTTTTCTACCTCGGGACGCTGCCCTTCATTTTCCCGCTACCCCTTGTATCAGGAACATGGTAGGAATGACCATGTTAGCACACTTGCCTGAGTGGTGCTCTTTAGATTTGTTTAAGTTTATTTTCAGGATAAATTTTTGCCAATTGTTGGAGACATTTCCATCCAACGTAGTCTTTTTTATCTTTTATAAAAGCAGAAGCTTTCAAAGCGCCTTCCAACGGCTAAAATCCTCTGAATCTATGAAAATGTAGTTCCCCAATCCCTTTCCATCTGTCATCCTGTTTTGTGCTCTGGTTTGACATATGCTGACGCTAGAGAACAAGTATTATCAGGATGATAGTACTGAGAGCGTCTAACTCAGTGTGCTTACGGTTGGTGCTGGTGGACCTCACATAATCCCACTGTGAACCTTTGCTCTGCACAGCGTACACTTCGTGTCTCACTAATTCTTTGTGTTTTACTTTGTGTCTCAGTTTTTTCAGACTACCTCTAGGTCAAAAGAAATACCTCACAATTCCATTTTTAGGATAGTTAGGTCCAAACAATATATATTAATGTTCTAACGATGTAGAACCCACTTGAAAAAATAATACATGTCGAAATAAAAATAATATTTCAATTTCATTCTTAAATAACCACAATTACTTACTAATGGATGTGTGTGCCTATTGGGCATGGAACAATTTATGTCTTGGAATCAGACTGAATACTGCCACCTTTTTTCTTGTTCCACATTGATTTTTTGCTTTGGAAAGAGATGATAGCATTGAAAGAAATGTAGCAGGACCTAGTGGGGGAACTGTGAACTGTTTCAAGCTGGTAGTTCACGTGGTGTCTGACAAATATGGAGTACTGCTGTATTTCCCTTGGAAGTTTGAAATATCTTTTGGTACCCCTATGAGTCCACTGCTGTATTACGGATGGGGCATCTTGTTATATAGTTTGGGAACCATGGGTTTATCCTTCATCAGATGAACAAAATGAAAAGCTTGATAGAAAGAGCCATGATGTGTATGATGTGTGTGTGAGTGAGTCTAAGTTTTGGTGATCATATCCAGACAGCAGGTAGTTTTTGGTCCTGCTGTCTCACCCACCGCACAACATTGTGAGGGGCTTAAATCCAGTACAATTACTCCTCAATTCCTCTTGCAAACATGTTTATCCCCAATTCAGTATCAAATAAGACCTGCCAATACAAGTTTGCATGCATGCACCAGCAAAGATATTTATATTATTTGAGGGTCCCAGGGAGAGGAATAAAGTGCACAGCACTCTTGGCTGGTCTCCTGATAGGATTGTGTTTTTCCCTTGTGTTGTGTGAATATGTTGTGTGTTATCATCACTGTCTTCTCCACATTATTTAGTGAAAATGTCTTGCAAGAACATGGAAAAACATATAGAGAAAGCAAATTCACTGAAGAGGCTAGAAAGACCTAATTAGCCAAACAGAAGGGATTAAGGATTTTTTTTTAAATTTAATTAATTTATTTGACAGAGAGACAGTAAGAGAGGGAACACAAGCAGGGGGAGTGGGAGAGGGAGAAGCAGGCTTCCCACAGGGCTCAATCCCAGGGCCCTGGGATCATGACCTGAGCCAAAGGCAGACGCTTAACGACCGAGCCACCCAGGCGCCCGGGATTAAGGATAATGAGAGAGATGGCAGCTTGAGGACATAAACTTGACGATTCTCGTGGGCCCATTTACTGCACACATCTAATTTTTCACCAACACCAAGTATTAAAGACTTAGACAACTGGTGTTTTATATATTTTATATTATACAAAAATCTGTATGGAGTATTATGTAGGTTTAAGGATGTTTTAGTCATATTTGGGGAACTTGGATAGAATTTTTGGGTGGGCTGGGAGAGCAATATCTTTTTTTCCATTTAAAATAATGGAATTGAGGCTACTGCTAAACAAAATGCACTATCCACAGGTGTATTTAGTCACAGATTAGATTCCATTGGCAAAGATGTTTGTTTTCAGAACATTTAAGTGCTACGTATATGTAAGTTTTTATTAGTACTATTAATATATAGAATGTATATGTCTTTCTTAGTGTCCCCTAATTGCTCAAGGTCTCAGATAAAGTTGAAAAATGTCTTTTCTCGGGCGCCTGGGTGGCTCGGTCGTTAAGCGTCTGCCTTCGGCTCAGGTCATGATCCCAGAATCCTGGGATCGAGTCCCACATCGGGCTCCCTGCAAGGAAGCCTGCTTCTCCCTCCCCCACTCCCCCTGCTTATGTTCCCTCTCTCGCTGTGTCTCTCTCTGTCAAATAAATAAATAAAATCTTAAAAAAAAAAAAAAAAGAAAAATGTCTTTTCTCTGTCAGCAGCCTACCTCCCCTACGACGCCCACCAAGCCCGTGGTGCCCCTGGAGTGGGCTTCAGGAGTGATGCCGAAGCCAGATCCCACGGTCATCAACAAGCACATAAGGAAATTAGTTGAGGTAAGTGGTTGAGAGAGTGGAGACTGAGCACTAGAAGGCCCTTTTCTCTTTCCAGAATATTCTGTCATTGCCCAAGAATCAGCTGAAGTCAATGAAAACAGCCCTCTAGCAGGTAGGAGCAATTTAGCAGACACTTAGCTCTACTTGGCATTGGCCTCTAGGGGAGAGTATCCCGGAAAGGCCCTCTTTTCCCTTCTTGTCATTCTGTTCTCATTTGCCCAAATACCCTCAGCTACTTCCAACTCTTTCGGTAGCATTTGATGCCTCCACTATTGCCCCTGCAACTTGAGGGACTATTTGGGGATTAGAATCTACTCCTGAGAAACCTACATGGGTCACAATAAAATGCCCAATAAATTGATTGCATGAGGGTAGGAAAAGATCCTGTAGGTGCACAGTTTCTCTTGCTGTATATATTGGGGTCTGTGACACAGCAGCACAACGCCATTTGGGTCAGAAACATCACTTAATGATGGGAAAGTCTCTATCAGAAGTTTCCACATAGAAAGAAGAATAGAGGGGAGCCTGGGTGGCTCAGTCGGTTAAGTGTCTGCCTTTGGCTCAGGTCATGATTCTGGGGTCCTGGGATGGAGCCCCTCCATCCCACCCCCCAAGTTGCTGAGCAGGGAGTCTGCTTCTCCCTTTCCCTCTGCCCCTCCCCCCACCCCGATCATGTGCTCTCTCTCTCAAAATAAATAAATAAAATCTTTAAAAATAATAAAAAGAAAGAAGAGTAGAAGTGCCAATGTGCAGAAAATGGAAACATACCTGGCAGTAAAAACTATGACCCCTGATTAAACATCTGCTTTAATGGGTGGGTATGATGCAATAGGATCGTGTCTTTGGGATAAAATGAACATTTTGCTGGGGATGGATGGTTAAAGAAAAAGAAAGAATGTTCTACATCTTGGATCATCCAGGGAACTATAGTGCACTGGAAGAAAAGTTCTGTGGAGCATGTGAGGCAGCAAGGAAAGGTCAGAAAGGATGAAGGAAGGCATTGAGAAGCATAAGGTCCAGTGGAGACCACGTGCTGATGTTGTGGTCACAAACCCAACTTGGAGCCAAGGAAGGGGGTGGGATCCAGGCAGGAAAGAGTTGCAGCTCAGGAAGGTCTGGAGCCAGGAAACGAAAGACAGAATGATTCTCTCCCACTCTTTTCTCTGAATGCTCATTCCATTATCTGCTGAAAGACTTTCTTTGCTCCATTTGGGGAGTCTGTTTTGCCCTCTCCCCCGTCCTCTCTCTCTCCCTCTCTCCTCCCTTATGCCATCTCTCTTATTTTCTCTCCAATTCCAATTTCATGGGGGAAGGTTGGCCCAGTTTGGATAAATTGCCTACTTTTGGCTCAATCAAATGAAAGACTGGGTTTTATTATGAAATTTGCATACTAAATTTTATTCTACAAAAAGATTGTACTTTCAACATAAATATGGATTTTAGGCTATAAATAGTAGGCACTCTATAATGGTCAATTTTAAGCAATTTTGATTGTAGATAAATATTGATATTGGGACTTGCAGAAAAAGGTAGTGCTTTATGATTTTGCATAATTCAGTTATCTATAGATAAACTTACAATGGGTGCTAAACAGTTATATTTTTAATTAAGCAATTTGTTCATTTATATCTTGGTCATCTCCCAAAACACTTCTGAAGCAGTTTGCTACATAGGGCAATACGAATAAAGTAGAATAGACAGAAACCATAGGAAAAAGGGAGAAAGACTCGTTATAATCTTGCATACATGTGTTTCCGGGGAGAACTTAACAAACCTTTTTGAAAATCTGATTTAGCAGAGGGCAATGGAAGACTCCTTTTATTTTTCTCTGATTATAAAGAGAGTCAGAATCATTGTAAATATGCAAACTTTTCATAAAATAGAATCCAAGTTTTACTTTTAGGTCGTGGGAATTCTGCTCTCTAGGGATAAACACTGATAATTTGTAAATTATCTTGTATGACTTTATTCCCCCCCCCCCCCCCCATAAACACACTCACACCCACGTATGCCTCTGAGTAACATTGTTCAACTATTTTCCTAGAACAGATTCTCCTAAGTGGAACTGCTGGGTCAGAGAGTAAGCAGACTGTTCTCCAGAAAGACTGTGGCTATTGACTTCATCAAGTAATATGAGAATGCCTGTTTTCTCATACCCTAGGAAATTACCAATTATCTTAATGTTTTCCTATCTGAGAGGTTAAAAAAAGTTTTCTTTGCATTTCTATAATTATTAGCAGAATTGAGCATTTTCCATGAATATACTGGCCATTTGTATTTCTACTTTGGTGATCTCCCGTTTTCCTTTTATGTCTTTGCTCTCATGTATATTGCAAACAATCTTCAATGTCATTTATCTTTGAATTTGTTAGCTGGGCTTTTTCGATTCAGATATTTTGCATTTTATGTAATAAAATGTTTTCATTTATAGCTGCTGACTTTGATGTCATGGTAAGAAAGGCCTTTCCTACTCAAAGATCACAAAATATAAAATATATTTTTATCTATTTACCTTTCATACTTTTGTAGCTTTATTTTTTACATTAAAATATTTAATGCATCTAGAATTTAGTTTAGGGGCAACTGATTTTGTAAGATTATTAGCCATTACCTCAACAGTAATTATTGGATAATTTTTAATTTCCCTATGGATTTGAAAACATACTTTTTAAGATTCTAAATTCCTGAATATACATAGATCTATTTCCAGACTCTGCTATCTGTAGTAAGTTATGGTACCATGTTGTTTTGATTAATGTAGCTTTGTAGATTATTTGATTTCTGATAGGACACATTCTCCCTCATTACTTCTCATCTTAACAATTTTAGGCTATTCTTAACATGTTCACTTCTATTTGAACTTTAGAATCAATTTGTTCATTTAAAACAAATTCTCACTGGAATTCTGACTGGAATTACATTAAAAGTATACTTGAAGTTTTTGGATAATTTAACATTTTTAAAGCTTCATTTTCTATCAGCATGGTATTGGCATTTGTGAATTCACCAAGCTTAACTCTTACTAAAACTGAAGTTTCAGTTTAGACCTCACTTTCTCCAGGAAACCTTTTAAAATCTCCCTCCTGTCTCCCCTCCCCTCATGGCACCCTGTTTTTATCCTCAGCATTGCACTTATCTTCTTATATCATAAAGGCTTCTTGATTTCATTATCTCCCACTGGATTCTAAGCTCCTCAATAGAATAATATGCTAGTTATCACTGCTTTCCCAGTAAGTTCAGAGCCTGACTCATAAATATTTATTCCATAAATATTTGTCTTTCCTTTGCAGTCTGTGTTTAGAAACTATGACCATGACCATGATGGGTACATCTCCCAAGAGGACTTTGAAAGTATAGCTGCCAATTTTCCCTTTTTGGATTCCTTCTGTGTGCTGGACAAAGATCAGTAAGTTTTAATTTTGTTATATTTTAATGCAACTGTCCTGAGCAGAAAATTAGTGTCAGAGGAGAACAGGGATACCTTTAACGTACATCCTGACAGCTTTAATCCCAGCGTGTTGATGAGACAAGTCTGATGTTTTGCTGATTTTTTTCTTGGTGTCCACAAACATGACTGGTTGGATGAAATCACAGGGCAGACTGCACCATCAGTGTTGAGTGTGATGCCCATTTGCAAATGAGCCTGAGTCTCCATTTCCCATGTTACTTCTGCTTAGCTATTTCATCAACCCCCAAGCCTCCATCAAAAAGAGTAGGGGAGAAATATAGTTACACCTAGGCTGGTAGAGTCCTCAGCATCAGTGGACCTAAGGGCAAGACTAAAACTCACCAAGTAAGTAAAATTATTTTCAGTTACTTACAGTCTTCAGAAAAGCAGGTGATATCTACAGATAGCCAAGAAGTGTCCTCGCTTTGTTTCTCTCTTTGCTAGCTCAAAGGTTGTTTTGATAAATGAAGTAAAAATATATTTCTCTTTAGCTTCAAATGATTCCTGGAAAATTAAATGACTTTAGAGGCTAAGATCCAGCTCATTAGAAAACAATGATAAAATATATACATATTGCGGAGAAACACTGGCATTAGTAATCTGACTGCTTAATTTTTAATTCTGTGAGATTAGTTCCTAGTTTAAAAATCATCTGTAATGAGGTGTTAGATTTTATATTGGTGAAATGTCCAAACTATATCACCTTAGAATTCTTTAATATTTTTGATGGTGTGATAATTTTTAAAAAATTAAATCTGTAAGTAATTCAATACACCAAGGAAAGCCTTGATATTTTATCATAACATCTTAAAACCTTAATTCATCTTCACTGTATATCTAGAACAAAGAATACTTTTTAAAATAAATTATTAGAAACATAAACTTCTTTTACAAAATAAAATTTAAGTTTCCTGCTAACTACCCATTTCCCTTAGTTTGTTTCTGTCCGTGACATGTAGGTGGGACATGAACTTAAAATTACTTCCTATTCTTCGTTTCTTTTTTCTGCTGGTTCTTTAGATGGACCTGACACTGTTCCAGAAAAGATATATAAATACATTTTTTTCTAAAAACGAAGGTTTGAAATATTCATAGCTTACATGATTTTTGTCAAAGAAGCTGAGATATGTTGATTTTGAGAGGCAAGTAAAACATCCAGGAGGAGATTCTAGCAAGCTGTAGATATGGTACCAAGATTCAGGAGAACAGTTTTGGAGATATTGATTGCTAGGTCTTCAGCCCAGCCGTGCAAGCTGAAGTCCCGGGCGGGAGAGCAAATTCTGTTGGAAAAGTTGAGAGCAACATGAGCTTAGGGCCTGAGGACTGCAGCTTGGGGACCCTTCCTCCCACATGCAGATGAAAGGGAGACATGGATCCTGCAGGAGAGCCAGAGAAGGAGGAGCATGGGAGGCAGGAGAGAAACGGGGCTGTGTGGAATCACAGGGGTACGTGGAGGAGAGAGTGTCAAAAAGGAAAAACCCTGTCTGCATGTCACATGCAGCCAGGAGGTCAACAACGTCAAGTAGTGAGCAAAGGGGGTGCCTGGGTGGCTCAGGCGGTTAAGTGTCTGCCTTCAGCCCAGGTCATGATCTCAGGCCCTGGGATCGTTCCCCATGTCGGGCTCCCTGCTCAGTGGGGAGCCTGCTTCTCCCTCTCCCTCTGCCTCTCCCCCTGCTTGTGCGCTCTCTCTCTCTTTTCTGTCAAATAAAATCTTTTTTTAAAAGTGAGAAAAGGCCACTGAGGACATCATTGTGACCGTTTCAACAGAACGGTAGGGTTAGAAGCCTGTTTATATGGAGGGAAGAGTAATGGAAGGAAATGGGGGAAAAAACCCCTCTAATTAATATTCTTTTTGAAAACTTTGGGAGTAAGAAAAGGTAGAGAGAAAAGACAGGTGCCAGGGATGGAAGCAAGATTGAGGAAAGACATTTTCCAGGCGGGGAAGTTGCGAGCGTATCTTTACACAGAGGAAGGAGCGGGTGAAGAGACTGCGCAGAACCTGGAAGGAGCTGTGTCCTGGGAGACTGCAGAGTAGGGGATGGGAGCGTGACTTCCTCAGAGACAGGAGGACCCAAGAGAGGACAGATGAGATACAAGGAATTCTGAATTGGCACAGAAGGGTGTGGTCTCCAGCACAGGCCGATGTGGAGAGAAGGCAGTATGAAGATCACCTACTTCATGTGGATTTGATCTTCTTGATAAACAAGAGGTCTGGATATGTGCTGGTGGGTGCAACCAGAGGTTCTGTGTGAAGAAGATCTGGAAGAATCGCTCTAGGAAATGGTCTATAAGCCAGTAAGACATGAATAAAAGATTACCAATGGCAGTGGCCTGGATGACATCAGGCTGAATGAATTTGAGAATGGCGGGCCCAGTTATTACAGTTTTTTGCCTTTCTCTAGCAGCCTAATTCTTGCACACCCTATTGCTAGGGATGCGCTAGAAAGGAGATTTCCTTCTAGAAGCTACCATTTGGTAATGAAGGAGACTTTCTGTGCTACGGAGCACAGGATACACATACGTATCTTCTCCTTACTAAGAGCCTTTGGCACTAAATGCTGTCCTTCAAGGTCCTCTCCTTTCAGAAAGAGCAGAGAAGTAAACACTCCCCACCTGCTTTTGGCCACAAAGGTTTGGGGAGTTGGGTGATCACAGTGTGTCAGCCACTTAGCAACATGGTCTTCAAAGATCCCTCCCTTTTCTGATTCTCTTCACAGGGATGGCCTTATTAGTAAAGATGAAATGATGGCTTACTTCCTGCGAGCTAAGTCCCAGTTACACTGTAAAATGGGACCGGGATTTGTCCATAATTTTCAGGAGATGACCTATCTCAAGCCAACCTTCTGCGAACACTGTGCAGGATTTGTAAGTCTGTTTTCCATTGTTTTCTCTTGTGTGTAATTTGTGCCTCATTCTGAGAAGGTAGGAAAATGATACACCAACGGAGTCCATTGTCTGCTTTAGGTCAGAAGTAAAATATGATGGCTCCCTGAAATTAAAAACTAAGTTGAAAAGCAAAAACAGGGTGCCTGGGTGGCTCAGTTGGTTAAGCGACTGCCTTCGGCTCAGGTCATGATCCTGGAGTCCCAAGATGGAGTCCCGCATCGGGCTCCCTGTCAACAGGGAGTCTGCTTCTCCCTCTGACCCTCCCCCTCTCATGTGCTCTCTCTCTCTCTCATTCTCTCTCTCAAATAAATAAAATCTTAAAAAAAAAAAAAAGCAAAAGCAAACTCTGCAGGTTTCACTATGTTCTTTCTAGGAATGTAGGGCTGGTGACAGGAAAGGATAGTGAGGCTTGTTAACTCAAGAGAGCAGTTTGTCTGTTAATCCCTGCCAAGGAAAGTTCGGCCCAAGGAGCCTTGGCATTTATGGCTAATACTCATAGCAGGTGCAATTAAGGGGATTATTTATCTTAGCCAGTTCCTCCCAGTTCTTGCTTCATGTGATGTCAGTCACTAGAAATCCATCATGGCATGGCTCAATGATTCATAATTCAAAAGGAAAAAAATATTTTCAGAGGGAAGATAGTTATAATAATCAATAACATTTATTTGGCACTTGACAGTAATGAAGTACTTCCATACACGTTAATGTAATTAATCCTCATAACTAGCTCATGAGGCGAATATTTTATTCTCCCCATTTGCCTATCAGGACAGAGAGGTTCAGAGGGTATAAGTTTCCCGGGACCCTACAGCCCATAATTACCAGAGCCAAGGCTCAAACGCAGGTGTTCTGACCCTAATCCCGTGCTCTAAGTACACCACTGCACGGACTGGAGATTGTACACTTCAGTTCCCCACGTTGGATAATTCTCTGGCAACTAAGGGCAGTGTTGGTCCTGATACTGAACAAAGACTCATGCGCCCTGCAAGTCTAGTTGTTACCCAGGGTGTAGAAGATGAAAATGTGGTCCTCTAGGTGAGGCTGGCCCGGCAGCCCACATGACTACCACTCCTCTGTCCAGAGGCCAGAACTCAGTTGTGTTAGCTTCATTCAGCCATCGTGTTCCCCTGGAGACCCATTTGAATTCACAGCTGCTATCACAACTGCCAAAATAACAGTTTTCCCATCCCATGCTTGAAAGACTGGCTTTGAGGGGCCCAAGGACAGGAGTTTGTGTTCAAGCACATACTCCCCTGAGAATGGGTGAATAAGAGGCAGTAGTTACCTCAAAGATGGCCCCAGGTGGTCACTGCAGTGGATGTGATCAAGGGGCAAGGCCAGCCCACCCAGCTGTCCTCGCCCACCCCAGAGAAGGAGAGATTCTTCTTCTGTCAGGTTCACCACTGGGATTTCATCACCTGACCACTTTATCATACAACAAATATGTCTCCTTTTTCATATTTCTTTCCTCTGCTGGGAAATCTTGGTTGTATCTACACCAAAAAATGCTGAAGTAGGATAGGGCCGTGTACAACTCTTCTGCAGAGCGGGGCCCAGTGAATCTGTTAGACCATGGCTTAGCTCCACCGAAAGTCAGGTTGAGACATCTGCCCTTTGGTATGGTGTGAGAGTTGGCGGGCTCTTATCAAATCTCAAGGTCTTATCTGTGCCCTCTAGTCCTTCTGGGTATCTTTCCCTTCTGTGGAGGCATGGGTTCTGTAGAAGCAACAAGGTGGTCTTTCTCAGGAGCTTCCACACTTCCCTTCCTGACTCATCAGAGCAGGTTTGCTGGTGCTAGGTTCTTGATGCATCTGTGATAAGGTATAAAGCTCTGGACTTGAGTCTGGAACCCTGACTTTGAATCTCAGTTCTGCCCTTATTAAATTTATGTCCTTGAGCAAATTATTGATCATCTTTGAGTCTCTGTTTTCCTATCTGTAAAAGAGAGTTAATTAGCACTCCCAGTCCAGTGCTCCTTACACCATAGTCCGTCCAAATCCTAAAGCAACCTGAGGTCTCAAATTAAAGGACTATGGGAAATATTCCTATACACCCATCTCCATGAGGTCACTGTCTCCTGTCTGTGGCTGGCACGCTGACCCAGAGCCCCTTCCTGCCTTGTGTCGTCTCCTAGTTATTAAGGAGCGTTAGCAAGCAGTGCCCTGAGTTTCCCTCCTGCTAGGACTCAGGCTTCACTCTATCTTTTCTAGCAGTTCCTGCAGCTTTGCTAATAATGTGCCATATCTGGATATTAGAACGCTTCTTCTTAAATCTTGTCCTTTCTTGTCCTAGATCAGTGGCTTTTGCTCACACACAAAACACCCAGGAGCAGTGGCTTCATGTGACACATCCTTCTTTCCCTGCTCACTAGCAACAAGACCTTGCCAAGTGACTTCACCTCTCGAGAGCCCAGTCTGTATATACATAGCATTGGATGAGTGAATACACATAAAAAGCTTAAAACTGTGCCTCTCACACAACCAAAGTTAATAAATGTTAGCTATCATTACTATGGGTATTACTCTCACCAAGGTCTCTGTGAGGAAACAATTTCTTATCACTGCACAGTTTCCCAGATGTGGGACCTTGCAGATTATTTAATTCTCTGGATCGTCCCACTCACCTTTTATGGGAGAAAAACAAACTCAATTATCTTGAAGGTCCCTGTATCTCTGACATGCTGGGATTACCCCAACCCCACTTCCCTTTTCTGCATAGACCGCTCCTCACCTCTTCTGGTCATCTGAGGTAACAAGCCTTGCTGCCAGTTAGTTGTCTTAATAATCCTTCCTTCCCAGGACACATTTGCATCTTAATAATGTACTCCGGAGGACCCGCTAACTTTTAAGACTCAAAGGAATCACTTTCCACTGGTGGAATTTCCTTGTCAGAAAGAGGGTTAAGGATCAGTCTTCCTGATGCCTCGAGTCACTTCATATTGGCAACTATTTATTCTTCTTGTAGGGAGGGTCATGAACAATGCCACACTCAGGATATTGTTCCCCTATCATACATGTAAATGACACCCCCATCAGCCCCAGTAGGCCACCAGCCCTGTTTCTTTCAAAATCATTTTATTACAAAGATATCAGTCACCTAACCTAACCACTAAAAGGTTAAAAAATGGGGGTTTTGCCAGCTTGAGCTAAGCCCACTGAATTCATCAATATTGTATGTTTCTGTGTCCCTGGGACCTGTGGGCAATGCTGAGAGTCATGGAGAAGAACACGGTGTGTCAGGGGGGCGAACACACTACCCACAGGATGATCCTCCAAGCCACCTGGACAAACACCCCCTCCTTAAACTGTAGGCCCTCACATCTCTCCTGAGACACTCGTCACTTACTACATCCTCCTTCCTCTGTGGTTGGCAGAATCAGAGTGTTTTCTGAATCTCCCTGAGCTCTGGCACAGGCCAAACACTGAGCAATCAGAGAATGAATACATGAACAAATAGATCTTTTCCTTTTCTATATTCTTTCAAGGCACAAATGCTACTCAGAAAAGAACCTAGCTCCATGCAAATGCTTTAGTGGGATATGCACCCCTTAGGTTTCTTAATTTCCTGTAGAGGGCGCCAAGAACAGCTGGAGTGATGAAAAAGAAGGCAGAGGGAGCTGGGGGCTTCCAAAAACAGTGACAGTCTCCCTGGTAAATTGAGCTGAGAGCGCATTATACCAAAGTCCAATAAATGTACCAACGTCAGTTTCCCATCCCGGCTCCCATTTGGCTTTCAGAAAGAAAAGGGAAGCAAAGCTGTTATCACCCCAGCTGCAGTGAGCTTCTATCTGACAGGAAGGGTGTCAGGATCAGCTACATCCTGTTTGTGCTCCACCAACCATCGTGCTTCCCAGGACTTCCTTCTTTCTGGCCTTGTTTTTTTTTTTTTTCCCCAGATTTTAATTCAGGTTCTCTCATTCTTTTGTCTTTTGTTTCAGCTCTGGGGCATAATCAAGCAAGGATACAAATGCAAAGGTAAATAAATGTTATTTGGTAAAATTTTAAAATGGGACGTGTGGGGCAGGAATCAAATTGTCTGATGAAACCACAAAAACTCTTGGCATCATGGAGAACTCAGCTCTTTGGACCACTGGCAACTGAAGAGGTAATGTGTCTAGGAAAAAAACAAAACAAAACCTAGAGTTTTGGAGAGCCCCAACTGGAATTTTATAGTTTGTTGTGAGAGCAAGAAAACCATCCTTATCAAGCCACATACATGTGGCCCCATCTCTAGGATGTCTTGTGAATCATCAGCACACAATTAGGGTGGGAACTCTGGAGTGGGACAGGCCTAACTAAAATACCATATGAAAGAACCTTGTCCTTCATGGGAATAAGCACACACTCATTCCCGTAATACATATGCCTTTCCGCTCTCACAGGTAGCTTTTCTTTTCTCCACTAAATCACAGATGATGATTAAAAAAGAGGAGAAGCCTTAAAACTTATTTTTGTCCCTTTCAATGAATTTGTTCATATAGTTCCCCATTTAACTGAAATTTATAAACAAGTATGTACTTGATAAAGGCAATACATATGCATATTAATAGGCACTTAGGACTGTGTTGTTACTTATGCATGTATGATCATTATATATTATTGGTGTTTAATTTAAGAAATTGCTGGATAGTTTATGCAGACTATTTGTACTGATGGTTTTAAGAATCCAACAATGCTCTTAAAAGATATAACTACAGAAGGAAACTTCTTCATCACAGAACGCCTTCAGATTAATACTATTCCCTTATGGTGTCTTTTTTTTTTTCTAGCTATCTTACAGGCTTGGGCCTCGTGTTGTATGAACAGAGTTCCCTGAAGCTAGATGGGAGCCACCTTTTAGTCTCAAAAACCTTCCCTTTAGTTCCTGGTATTAGTTGTCTGAGTGTAACTTGGATTTTTGCTTTCAAGCAGCAAAAATACTGCAATATCTTACCACCTAGCCATAGTTTTATTCTCGCTTCTGACCCTTAGCCTCTAAAAAGACACACACACACATATAAACACACTTTTATGGAGATGAAAATCAATTAAGCCCTTGGATCAGCTGTGTGTATACGTATTTTCTCTTAAAGGCAATGGAATGAAAAAATTAAAATAGACTGAACATTTCATTTTAATTTAGTCTTTCCATGATGTCATTACAAGAGCATTTGAAATAAGACCATTTGGGGGAAAAGCAAGTATCTGAAAGAATTAGAAAGGTCCTGTTTGATAGTGAGAGAGAAATATGTTCTTTAAAATGATCCTGTCTGGGGCACCTGGGTGGCTTAGTTGGTTAAGCGACTGCCTTTGGCTCAGGTCGGGATCGAGCCCCGCTTTGGGCTCCCTGCTCAGCAGAGGAATCTGCTTCTCCCCCTCCCCCTGCTCGTGTTCTCCCTCTAGCTCACTCTCTCTCTCTTTCAAATAAAGAAAATCTTTAAAAATAAAATGATCCTATCTGTTCAGTAATTCTAAGAGAAATGTAGGACCCTTTATGGGAAATAATTGTGTTGCTCTTTTCCAAAGCAGCCAAAGTTTTCTACCCCAAGCAGCAATTAATAGTCTGCTTTCTTAACTAAAAGCGTTCTAATGGGGGATTTCACAGAGTCTACTGTTTCAAAGCCATAAAGTCAAATCTGGAACATAATACTGGGCATAAGCCCACCTTGTTTTCTGTTTCTATGCAAAGAAAGAAAGCAGGACATAAAATCACTTGTTCTGGAAAAGATGTGGAGGAATGAAGAAGAATAAAAAAAATGCAAGTGAATACTGAATGAAGGGACACCTCGCTGTAGATGAAGAGAGGCAGCTCTTGGTCCTGGGAGACACTAGAAGCTGGGGTTTCTTTCCCTCATTCTGGCTCAGGGAGCCTCTTGATGGAGAATCTGTCTTGGCCTGGGAGAAAACCCCAGTCCCATGGAATTTGCATTTAGTTTGGGGCAAAGGCAACTCCTCACTAGGTCTGTCCCCTGCTTGTTTGCTCCCCAGCACCTGGATGAATTGTGCAGAAGAAGAAGTTGAACAAATGTGAGAGGAACCCCAAAGGCTAGCAAGTCCCACTGGCCCTTTTCCAGCCCCTGGCCACACCCTGCAGGCCTGAGCCGGACTCTGAGTCAACACGGGAAGGGGGATGGGGAGGGCATAGCCGATAGCTCAGGTGCCACCCTGGAAGCCCAGTCAGCACCAGATGCATTGGTTCCCACTAATCATCTGTGATACTTTGGGATTTTTCAGACTGTGGAGCCAATTGTCACAAACAGTGCAAAGACCTCCTGGTTCTGGCCTGTAGGAGATTTGCCCGGGCGCCCTCCTTGGGCAGTAGTCATGGGTCGCTGCCTGGAAGTCCCTCGTTGCCCCCAGGTAATAGCCTCTGCTTTCTTTTCTACCTCGATTTCTTTCTGCTTGCCTTCCCACACTTGGACTTCTGTTGGGTTCTGGATCTGAACCTGCTCAGAGTCCTCGACACCAAGACCTACTTCAGGGTGAGTTGCTATGGCTACACCCTTGACTCCCACTTGCTTCTCTCTGCTTTCAGGTCTCACTTCTATGCAACTCACCTGCAGCCCGTTTGGGTCTGCCTCTCGTCTGTCCCTCTAGGGCCTTGCCCATTGGACTCCTGTTGTTTGCACCAACTTTGATGGTTTGCTATAAAGCAATCAGATGTCAAATAATCACAACAGTCTCCCCCCCTTTCAGTGCAGGATGAGGTGTTCGAGTTCCCTGGCGTCACTGCTGGACACCGAGACCTGGACAGCAGAGCCATCACGCTGGTCACAGGCTCTTCTCGCAAGATCTCCGTGAGGCTGCAGCGGGCTACCACCAGCCAGGCCACCCAGACCGAACCTGTATGGTCAGAGGCTGGCTGGGGGGACTCAGGGTCCCACACCTTCCCCAAAATGAAATCCAAGTTCCATGACAAAGCAGCAAAGGACAAGGGTTTTGCCAAGTGGGAAAACGAGAAGCCCAGGGTGCAGGCTGGCGTGGATGTGGTTGACCGGGGCACCGAGTTCGAGCCTGACCAGGATGAAGCAGATGTGGGTGAGACCAGACAGGACGGTGAGGTCAGTTCTGGGTCAAACTACAAGTAAAATCACAAGAAGGAGGCTCAAAGGGGCCAAGATGAACATTATAGTGAGTCCAGGAGACAGCCTCATAGTTTTGAGAGCTGAATGGTTGGGCACTAACACATACTACTTTTCATCTTGCTGTTGGCTAGTTATGTGATCCCAGGCAAATTATTTCTTCTCTTTGCACCTCAGTTTCATCATGTATAAAATGGAACCAGATGGGTTCTAAAGCTTAGTGAGGCTGCCATTTCTGTGTACTAAAATGATGTCCCAAGGATCCATGACTTATTGGGTGTACCTGATAGGCCAGTACCCTATACCAGTCAGTTTAGTTTTCCAAGCTAGAATCAGGGCCCACACTCAGGGTGGGGGAGAGAGAGTGATGGGCAGTGGAAGCAAAAGACTTCCACTTGCAGATAGAGAAGAGTGGCTTTTGACAGCATCATTGAGAAGGGGGTGGTAAAAATCAGAGGCATGAGAGACTCAAGGTTCTATAAACCAGGCTTTGGCTCCACATAAAAATTACATTCACATCATCCAGGCATATGGAATTTGTTAGAATAAGCTGAAAATATAAATTGATTCAAGATAGACTTAGATAAATTTATTAGTCAAGAGTCCATAGTGTATTGAGAAGAAAGATTTGGGGAAATTGGTGTCGTATTCCTAACCTTTCAAGCTGTGCCATGGAGGACGGCCATCACCTCTCTATGGAGTCGTTCTCATAAACAGAATTATTGGGTTAGGCAGAGATCCTATTGGATCAAGCCAGTGCTCTTTATTCTTAGGTGGTCCTCCACATTCCACTCTTTAGGAGACCTAAACACACAGTCTCCTTGGTTTCCCATGATGAGAAAAATTCCAATGACCTTTAACCCAAATTCCTCTAGTTCCTTCCTCATTGAAGACAATTAATAAGGAGGCCACAAATTATCTTCAGTCTCATGCAGTTTATTGTAAGTTCCTGCTGAGCCACTTCTTTTTCCTTTCTTGTAACACCAGCTTTTGAAAACAGCTATATTGAGACCTAATTTATGTACTATAGAACATACTAATTTAAAGTATATATATAATTCAGTGGTTTTTAGTAGTCACAGAGATACACAACCATCACTACAATCTAATTATAGAACATTTACATCATCCCCTGGGGATGCCTGGATCACTCAGTTGGTTGAGCATCCGGCTCTTGATTTCAGCTCAGGTCATGATCTCATGGTGGTGGGATCGAGCCCCACATCAGGCTCCACACTCAGTGTGGAGTCTGCTTGTCCCTCTCCCTCTATTCCTCCCCCACCCACTTGTGCTCTCTCCCTCTCTAAAATAAATAAATAAATAAATAAATAAAATCTTTAAAAAAAAAAAATTTACATCATTCCCAAATGTACCCATTAGCGGTCACAGCTCATCTCCCCTACCTCATCCCAGCCCTAGGCAATGCACTAATTTACTCTCTGTCCCTATAGATTTGCAATGCCAACTTTATTTTTAACATTTCTTCATTGATTATCTTGACAAATATTTCAGTCCTATCCTTCCATTTCTTCTACTGCCTGGCAAGTTCAAGCTGGGTATATAAAGATAAATAAGAAAATGTTCCTGATATTATAACAGAAGAAGATATCCTAGGGAAGGGATCTTGACCTGGGGTCTAAATAAGGGCCTCAAGGAGTTCATGAAAGTGTATTATACTTTATGTGAAATTACATATGGACATATGCTCATTTCTGGAGAAAGGGTCGACAGCATTGAACAGATACTCAAGGGAGTCTATGACACTCCCCAAAAGTGAGAAATCACTGTGCAAGATTCTTTGAAATTGTGCTAGTCACCCCATTACCACCTAAGCCTGTGGAGGCTGTTTCCATGAGCAATGTGGCTATAACTAAAATCTCATGAAAAACAAGAGGTTCTATGGGTAGAGTCGTAGGATGCCTACCTAGAGCTTTCATGATGGTGCTCACCTTGTGGACCACCTCTGAATTCAGAGGAGTACCTGCTTTTGCTTAATAAACCGTGAAACTAGCTATGAGTTCACTTCTATTTACCTAGCACTGTTTAGAGTACTTAAACCTTGCTCCTGGCTTAGGAGAAATTCACTGCCTGTTAGATGGAGGACAATAACTTACATGAGTAGGATTTCCTGATCTTCAATAAGGAAATAGAGACAAAAATCTGGATTTTTTAAATTTAATTTTTTCTTTGAAAATTGAATATTTATATTCAAGTATTATCTTACCCTTTCATTTTTCTCATGTCATAAATCATAGAGATGGTTCACTGACTACTAGTATTCAATTTCATGTGTGCTAATTAGGGAAGACAGTATGTTTGTATATATAATGCATATGGTATACATTGTCCTTCTCATCCAAATCAGTAACAAATGAAAAGATTATTTACCCTTGTTGAGGGAAGAAAGGAAAAAGGAAAAAATGTGACAAAATTACATCAGGGTTGAGTATGTAGACAAAGGGGTTTTCATATTTAAGAATTTTTTTCTGCCAGGCAAGGCAATGAATAGCATTCAGAGAAATGATCTACAGATTTATTATTTAGAATCAGACGATGTCTATGAATCCTATGAGTAAAAATGATAAACTGACAGAAAAGACAGTTACATTTGTAATCTATGTATTTCCTTTGGTGGAGTTCCAGAATTTATACTCATTTTAAAATACAAGTGTGTGAACATTTTTTGGGACTATGCATATCATTTCTGCAATGATCATTGAGCCCCTGGATGGCAGGGACAAGATGGCAGGTCATGATTACTCTCTTGGCAGTAAGAATATGTATATTTTCTTTATAATGCTTCTTCGTTTTCCCTTATCTTCTACTAAATTAAATCTAATTAACAAATATCATAGAAGGGCTAGGAAATGCTGGAGTAAATAAAGTTTGATATGTTTACATATATCTCTCCCTACATATTTCTCTATATACCTATGCAGATATGTGTGTGTGTATATATATATATATATATGTATATATATATATATATATATATAATTTTCCCTTACAAATTTTCTCAGTGCCCTTATACAAATTTACATTGTGGATTTCTAAAAGGGAAACCTCAGCAAGAAGCATTTCATAGACCAGGGTCTTGTGGAGCACCTTTTAGGGCATTAATGTAAGCAAACTTGTTGGACTCTGTAGGATTTAAGATTTCATAAGCTATGTAGACTACACGATCTTTTGATTCCCTCTAAATCTTGAGAGCACAAAGTACTGATTATTTGGGATGTTCCCTCGAATGTCACTGGTAAACTGCTTTCTAAGAATATTCTTGCTTGGTTAAATGCGACCCAGCTATACAAAAGATTCTGATTCGTATTGCAGGATGGCTGACTTCAGGCTGAGGACACTGGAGGCAATAATGTTGGCATTTGGAAGGAGCAAGATGAGAAATTCTGAAGAACACTCCAACTCAGGAAGTTATCTGAAAAGATATCTTGGACTTTTACTGCCTGGTGACACCATGGGGTCTCCCTGATTGGACTGTGGGACAGAGGATTTACCCTATGAACTACTTATTTCCTCCTCCCCAGGCCCTAGTCAGGTGTCACCAAGTCTGGGTGATGTAGTTGGTAGATTTCTCTGTGTCTTTCCCTAGAGCCATTTATATATGAGTGAAGTGAAAGCTTTTCTGCATGTACTTGATACTCATTCTCTAAACTCTACTTTTTTGTGAGAATATTATTTCAGTATTTTGTAAGCTTTTGGTGGGGAGGAGTCAATTTAGAGGTCTTTTGTGTGTGTGTGTGTGTGTGTGCTTTTTGGACGGGACCAGGACTTATTTTCTTGAGGGACAAGAAAGCTCTTCAGATCCTGGAATGAGGTGGTTCTTCTAATACAAGGAGATGTTTACATTGTTCTTACCCTACAGTTGCTATTACGATGTGTAACAAGTCATACATTTATATTCACATAAGTCTTACCAATTCTGCATCATAAGGAAACTATGACACAGCCATGAAAACTCTCCTGATATTTATAATTGCCGTGGGGGAAATTAAGTATACTTGTCTTAGTGACTAGGTTTAGCCATCTTTCTTAGGACTCCTGTTAAGACTGCCAGTAAGAAATTTGGATGGTGATTACAAAATCAATTAAAGTTTCAGGGGATAAAATTTAGGAGAAAAACAAACCAACAAGCAAACCACTTAGTGAAATGAAAAACAATCAGCAATTCTTTAAAAACTCAAAATAGTTTTAAGAACTTTGTTAGAAATGAAAAGTTTTGGTTATAAGAGAGAACTTTTGTCCTCTTCCTAAGAAATTGCCATCTGTAATTAAAAGAATAGTCATAGAAATCCAATCATCAGAAACCCCCTTGGATTAACATTTCATTTCAGCTTTTAAAGTATCAGTATTTTCAATGTTTCCCTTTGACCTAAATAGCTAGACATGGGTCTGTTTTTTATATGATTAGAGGAGAGCAAACTTAGTTCAAAGTGTTCAAATAGAGAGACTGGATTGAGCCAGTGGATGAGGGGATTGACCTGCTGCCACATGGCCAGTGAGAAATTGTACCCACAGAAGTGCACTCATTTTCATTGGGAGTTTAAATGTGTATACCATATAAGACTGAATTTATTTCTATTTGGGGCAGTCACTTCAGTAAAGAAATCCTTCTCTTTTTCCATTAGATAAAATTGAGGACAGTTCTACTTAGCAAACACTTGACCACCTGCTCTGGGCAGGTCCTGCACTAGATGCACAAAGACAAGCAACATTTGATCTCTATCCTCAGGAGAGATGGTTCCTTAAAGTACAGTTCCAGATTTGCTAGGACGGACTTAATTGTGCCAAACAGATTGAGAAATTGATTTGCAGAAACATTGCAAATTAAATGAAGTTATTAGTTGACGGAGCTTTGAATAATCTATGTAATAAGAGAACTCACCATTTGCAAAGCACCTCAAAAAGCAAGCAGCCATCCCTGAGTGTTGGCTCTGTGTATATATACTATCTATTCCTATTCATAAATGCAATGAAATACATGTTAACAAAATTAAAAAACAGAAAATGGCAACTTAAGTACATGAAAATTCTTGTGTGTTTTTTTTTTTACTTTTAAGAAAATTCAGGAAGAAAATTTGGATTATTATTTTTCCTCTCAAAGCAATTATTTCACTTGTCACTTTGTTTGGGTTATTTTTGAGTTTTCTTATATAAGAAGAGTTTTATATTATCAGCCTTCCTGTGACAAAGATATTAAGTGTACCTCAACTAAAAAGCAAATAAATACAAACAACAAAGAAAATAAAACAAACATATATTTGTGTGTATATGTGTATACACACACACGCACACACACACTCACACACACTACTATTATGACTTTGCTAAAGAGGAATCTGTGTCCACCATGAAGCTGCTTTATAATGCTGATTATATTATTTACTTACAACCAATGGTGACTCTGATGTTTCCAATCTGTCAGTTTCCCATTATCAGTAATATAAGTAAATTAGGCAAACCCACAGTGAAGCAAAAAAAAAACTATGACATTTGGTCCCTCCAGACCTCCCTTTTGTAGGTTTAATGATCATTAACACCTTTTAGGTGAAAGGCAAAAGAAAACCAGACTCTTAACAGTGACCATTATCAGGTACCAGGAGAGAATACGTTAGATACTGCAACCGAGTCTTCCTTGAAGGATGTACAAATTGGATTGATGGCATTTTTTAGATCTGCCTAACCAGAGTGTGGCCCTAATTGGTATTGAACACTTTATGTTAGTGGCCTCCCAAAGCAATAATGTCCCCAAATGTCCATGGTAACAGAGTCTCTCCAAAGGTCCAAAGGGCTTGCTGTTTAACAGTGAAGCAGGACTCTTACAGAAGGGAGCACCAAACTGTTGTTGATGGTAGGAACCTTAGCATTCCTAAAATAAACACACTGGTTTTTGACTGAGGAGGTAGATTCAGTCAAGTGAGGTATTACCGCATGCCTCTGGCTTGCAATCTGCAATCGGATTTAAAGCCCATCTCTGCCAGTTGTAGTCATGAAGCCCTGGGCAAGTCATGTACATCTGCTTGAGCCTCAATTTCCTCGTTTGAAAAGGAGAGATTTCACCACCTTCCTCAACTACCTCACAGAGCTGTTGTAAAGATCAGGTCAAATAGTATATGTAAAAGTACTTTGTAAAGGGCTTATAAGTAAGTCAGTATTACTTTCGGTTAAGCAGGGTTCTTTTCTAAAATTGTCAATAAGATCCCAGACTATGTGTTTATATGGCTGTGTACTTCGGAGGCTCTAAACCCAACATTTAACTAAATTCTGTACCCAAAAAGAATTATTTAAATGGAGAAGTATAAATGAAAAATATTTAAAGGGGTTTTTCTTATTCCTGGCACTATGTGTGTGTAGGGTTAATTCTGTTCTGTTTCCTAACATTGGCTATTCTCTCTCTGTTTGAAAATGGGTAGGCAAGATTAAGAAACCAAATGGGCAAAATGTAAATGAGTTTAGAGAAATATAGGTTAACGCATAGCTAGGCTTAAGAGGTTGGCTCTTGGAGGAATTTAGTTTAATAGAGACAGAAAAGAGGAAAACAATTAACTTTTAAAATAAAAAGTACACCATTCATTTGATAACCAGAATATATTTTACACCTAACTGAAGGTGGTCATGGTAGGAAACTACTTGGGATTTAAGGCTCATCAGGAAATCGCTTCCTCCAAGTTGCATCCAAAACTTGCCTGTTGAAGTCCAGAGCGTACTCAAACCTCAAGCAAAAGTATCTACTTTATTTTCTTTTTAAAATGTTAATAACACGCACATTGGAATGCATATCTCAGAAACAAAGTGACTTGCGGTTTGTACAAAATAGCCTAAGGAAAGCATTGCTTGGGAGCATTCTCTAAGGCAGCTGACCTGAAACTTCAGAAATAAAATGTCATTAAAAAAAAAAGAGGGACAGAGCAGTTCTGGATCAAATGAGATGCATTAACCAAATGAAACACAACAGCCACATACTGCGTTGTAAACCTTGATGGGATTCTGGATCAAAAAATAAATAAAGCAGACACTTTGGGGGCAGTAATTAGGGAAATTTAAATACGGACAACAGCATCCCCCTTCTCTGCAGCTCTGATTTCCACAGTTCCAGTTACCTGCAGTCAACACCGTTGGAAGCAGGTGCTTCTCCTTCTGACCCATTGTCAGAAGGTCAAAGGTCAATAGTAGCCTAATGCGACGTCACCACGTGGGCGTCACTTACCTCACTTCATCTCAACAGGCAGGCAGTTTGTAATCACATCATCAGAAGATGGCGAAGGGTGAGTACAGCACAATAAGTTATTTTGAGAGACCACATTCACATAACTTTCATTACAGTATTTTGTTATGTTCTATTTTATTATTAGTTATTGTTGTTAATCTCTTACTGTGCCTAATTTATACATTATACTTTATCATAGAGGAAAAAAAACATAACATCTATAGGTTTCAGTACTATCCGCAGTTTCAGGCATCCCCTGGGGGGTCTTGGAACATACTCCCCGCTGAGGGGGAATACTGTATATGTTAAATAACTTATGGAATGAAAGTTTATTCACGTCAGTGTGATAATGGCTTCATGGTTATATAAGATAACATCTTCATTTTAAGAGATGCCTGCTAACGTAGTTAGGGATGAAGTATCCCATCTGTATTTTAAAATGGTTCCGTGAAGAAAAAGTTTTTGTGTAGAGAGAGAAAGGGAATGTGGCAAGATGTTAACTATAGTTAAATCTATGTGAAGGGTCTGGATATTCATTGTACTATTTCTTAAGCTTTTCTGAAGTTTTGTAGTTAAAAAAAAAAGTAGGGAAGGGGCACCTGGGTGGCTCAGACATTTAACGTCTGCCTATGGCTCAGGTCATGATCCCAGGGTCCTGGGATCAAGTCCCGCATTGGGTTCCCTGCTCAGTGGGGAGACTGCTTCTCCCTCTCTGTCTGCTGCCCCCCCCCAAATCCCCCGCTTGTGTGTGCGCGCTCTCTCTCTTTCTCTCTGGCAAATAAAATCTTTAAAAAAGGAAAAAGTAGGGGAGAAGAAATCATTACTTCTACTCTTACTGGAAATCATTTTAAAAACCACAAGGAGAATAAAAACAAGAAAGAAGTTCCATTTGCAGAGCAACTAGGAGGAATCTGAAATCCTATGCCCAACAGGAAAGATGGGCCCCAGGGCATCAGAGATTGGTCAGAGGCTTGCAGGAGGACCTGGAAGGAAATTGCTGTAGTAGAGATTACAAACAAACAAAAACAGCTACAAGTACCCCTCTCAACACAAAGAGGCACATTTGAAGAGCATATCCTCAATCCTTTGTTCACAACAGAAAGAATGCATGGACCAGCCAGCAGCAGGAGCTTTCTGGACCCGGTTTGGTTCGCAGAAGAAGCAGAGCACACAGACAGGGAATATTTGCAAGAAAACCATCTGTCTCTACCATAGCAGAGTGCTACAGTCTTTTGTGGTGGGAAAAAAAAAATCCACAATTGCCAATCTCTGCCTATTAGCCTTTGGTAATTGAACTTACATGCAAAACCCAGGGTCATGACAAATTTCACCTGGCCTGGACATTATCCTGGCTCCTTCCCTAGATGAACTTCCCACAAGTTTTGGATAAAAGCTCAAAATTAAAAACAGTTAAGATAAAACAAAAACCCGGGGGGCATAATAGAGGGGAAAAAAGGGTAGTTAAACAGATGTCAGAAGACCTCTCACCGGAAAACAAACAAACTACATTGTTACAGATCGTCTGAAAATTGTTTCTCCACATATCAAAGCCACTTAATGAATTCCTGATCCACAGAAACCATGATAATAATAAATGCTTTGTGTTGTTTTAAGCTACTAAGTTTTAGGGTATTGTGTCACACAATAATAGAGAACTAAGGCAATATCCTGCTGGGCAATTCAACCCTAAGATTTAGATTATCTTCTCTACTGCGCAGAAATAAGTTGAATCTCTACCAGATAAAAATCCTTTGCATCTTATCAAGTTTTCTTCAAGTTAGTGTCTGGGTCCTTATCCATAATAAATAGCATAGCAAACAACGTTATATTTCCCTAGAAGAGAGTTTCTCAAACTCTGCTTGAATGACATTTGTTTGCAGATGATTTTTGGGGGGAAGGGGTGGGGGCTGTCCTGTACATTGCAGGGTACACCACTCGATACCAGGAGCACATCCTCTTCTCCCTTAAATTGTGACAAGCAAAAATGTCTCCAGACATTTCCAAATACTCTCTATGGGGCAAAATTGCTCTTGTCTGAAAAACACAGCTCATGCATCAGAATTATCTGCAGGTGTTGCTCAAACACTCGGCTGGGCCCCATCCAAGGTTTCTGATTTTGCTGGTCTGGAGTAGGGCCTGAGAACTTGCATTTCCAACAAGTGCTTAGGTAACGTTGGTGCTGATGCTGCTAGTTGGATACTGCATTTGAGAATCACTGCTCTGGAAAGTCAGATGACCCTTAGTTATGCTTGTTAGACTCTACTTTAGAATGAGACCCAAAAGCCGTGAAGCCATCTTTGGCCTTATTTCTAGGTTTCCAATGACTTTTCTTAATAATTCTAGAGAAATAGAAGGTGGAGGCAGTTCTGCATAGTTATAAAGGTAAACACCTGAACAAAACTAAATCTTTCTAAATACCGGAATATAAAAACCAAAGCAGAGAGACCTTATAACTTTTAAAAGTCATAAAAATGGAAAACCAATCCTAAAATAATAAGACAGAACGAAGTTCAAATATACCTGTCATATAGCGGGGTGCCTGGGTGGCTCAGTCGTTAAGCGTCTGCCTTCGGCTCAGGTCATGATCCCAGGGTTCTGGGATCGAGCCCCGCATCGGGCTCCCTGCTCCGCAGGAAGCCTGCTTCTCCTTCTCCCCCTGCTTGTGTTCCCTCTCTCGCGTGCTCTCTCTCTCTGTCAAATAAATAAATAAAATCTTTAAAAATATATATATATATACCTGTCATATAAATGTAAATGTAACTAGTAAAAAGATTCTCAGATTGGTAAAGAAAAATCCAGTTCTCAGCTATGT